TGAAGAGAAGTGGAATAAAAAGACTACTCCATGGGGTCTTGGCTTTCATAGCTGGTCATGAACAAGATCACAAGAGCTGAGAGACCTCAAGTTTTTTGCCTTTGCCATAACTCTTTTATCCAGATCTGAACTTCAGAGGATCATTCTGGTCTTGAAAGGAAACCAAGATAAAAGGAAACAGCTCTCAAAATTATAAGCCAAAGAAAACCAGAGAGTCATTGCTGCATTTTTCATCTTTTTAGTAAGTAGTGGGGTTTTCAGTGAGTTTCAGTATATGTACTGTAAGGCCATTTCTTCTTTGCAGCTGAATGATTCTGATTTTTTTTCCTGCTTCATGCACACACACTAAGTCCTGAAAACCCTTCATTTCTTCATTCCAAATATGTTTACTGAATGCCTACTATTTGCAAGATACCGCTTCTTTTGCTATGACTTTCAGATCATCCAGATTTGAACTGAGGGGCATTGCTCGCTTGAAAATGACCCAGAAACAAAAGACACACCTCTCAAAGGTCATCCACCAAACAAAAAATGAGAAACACTGCATGCTGGGTTTTTTTCCTCCGGAGTGAGTCTATGCTCTTTGGATTTTCAATACGTCATTATCCTGTCTATGTGAACCTCCCATTTTCCTCTCCTGTCTTTTGATTCATTTGACCTGTAACTGTTTACATTCAATTAATCGCTCACATCTATGACATTTCCTTTTGCCATGTGGTAATTCTCAGACTATTCTGAAGTGAACTATTAGAAAGTGAAGCTTTGGAAATGAGGCCAAGATAAAAGGAAAAGGAAAATATTCTTGAGTTCCCTTCTTTCCCTTATGAAATAAAGCAGATTTAAACTGTACTCTCCCCCACTCTGCCTTTTGGACTGTTAACTGTGTCATTGGTTTTCAAAAAACAGGACTGCCAAACTCACCAAAAAAACCCCAGCCCATGCTGTCCTTTTTGTTATCACTGACCTGCTCCTTCATCCCCTACACCTAATCACTAAATCTTGTGGATTCCTCCTCCACCAGATTTCTAGTTGTCTTTCAAAATGTTATATTTTCTCTTCCAATCCATCTTATGTTTACTTACTAGTCTTTCTCAAGCAGCATTTGTATCATGTCTATTTCTCAATACTTCAGGGCTTCACTATTACCAGTTGAATCAAATTTAAGTAGTTAAGCATTGATCCAGCCTCACCTTCATTTTTTTTTTCTTCCCTTTTGTCAATATGCTCTCTCTGCTTTTTTCTCAGGGTACATGTTGGTTTTTATTTTTCATTATTATCCAATGGCCTGCTGTGTTAACACTCAACTGAGCTTCTTTGAATAGAAAATGAATTATGGGTGGTGAGATAGGTTTACTCTCCGGTTCTGATCCAGATACATCATGGAGGTTGTTGATGTTTTAATCCCATAGTACCTGTATGATTAGCAGCCTCCCAGTTGTGGATTTAAAATTTCAGAGTTCCCCGGAGCGTGTGTCAAGAGCCCGATTCAGACCTTTAGAGGCTCCAAGACTAAAAAGATTATAATCTATACCCTCCCAAATATAATTCAAAATATAAACAATTCCAACCACCAAAATAAGTGTAAGAAAGTACAACGAAGTTCTGATTATTTTCGCCAACATGACTATTTCATTTTGAAATTCTTTCCCCCCTCCAAAATTTTTTTGTCCCCCAGCTTTGCTCTAAGCAACAGGGATAGTCTGCCCTAAGCAACTACTTAGTTGGCACATGCCCCTCTTAGGAAAATCTACTCACCACCTAACCTTTTAACAGACAAAAAAAAGCAGTTAATAGTTGTGGGGGAGGGGCAAGACCTGACCTCATCATTCTTAACTGTTGTTCCTCAAAGAAAAAGCTAAAGTGATGGTCCTTTAGCTGGGTCCCTAGAGAGAAATTAGAGCCTGCCCTGCTCACAAGGACAATTTATGTTTTATCTACCTCTTTCAGACCTAGATAGGGAAATTAAAAACTGAAAGGCCCTTAAAAATATTCATTCTAAGGCTTTCTCCACCAAAATCTGTATCCTGGGCACTCAATTCAGTCACGAGAAGAAATTTCAGAACAGCATTTTCTTTTAAGTTTTCCTCTGAGAGACTGTCCTGACATGGACTTCACTCTACCTAGAACCAAAACTTTGGATCACTTTTGTTTCCTCAATCTATACATACTTTGGTAACTCCTGCTCCATTGTGTTCCCAGAGAAGTTGGAAAACTGAACATTAGTGAAAACCCACCCCAGGTATAAGCCTTTTAAGGAGAAGATCTTGGTGGAAAAATTAAGCCATGTGAGAGAGATGTATGTAACACCCAAAGATGGCAATAGCAAATAGTCTCAGCAAAACTATCCCTATTGCTTTTTTCTTGTTTCAATTTCCTCATTCAGTTTAGGGAAGTTGATATTTTCCTTTTCTTCTTCGAAACGGCTAAGACTATTACCTATGGAGCTACTGAGGAAAGTTCAGAGAATTGGAATCAAGAGTCTTGAGTCTAAGTCCTAGCACTGTCACCTACTGATTTGTGCTCTCTGGCTTTAACTTCTCTGAGTCTGTTTTTTCATCTGTAAAATGGCAATAATAATATCTAAATTAATCAATTCAAGGTAAAAAAAATAACATGAAAGTCCTATACAAAGAACAATGATAACTACTGTTTCCTCAACTGCTTTTCTACTGCATCAGAAACAGATGGATGCTTTACAATCAACTCTGATCTACTTTCTTTACACTTGGAAAGAAAGGTTTCGATCAATATTACTGATTCTTAAATGTAGATTAACTGAGATTGGGAATGTGTTCACTTAGAGCAAACAGAGTTTGTGCCTCTGTATAAAATATCTGGAAGGAAACATGAGAAAGTGGGAGCACTAGTTGCTTAAGGGAAGAGAAATTCAATAGTGGTGAGCTGAGAACAAAGTTACTTTTAGTGTGTTATCTTTTTGTATCTTTTAAACTTTGAACTTATGCCAAAAACTAAATAAAGAAAATGTATGCTATAAAATAAATAGCCATCATATATGTATACAGTGATACTTAAAATACTTTTTTTTACTACTTGTTTTTATGGATAAACAGTTAATTAAAAACCGCTTCTAGGAACTTAACATTTTATTTCAGAAACAATTTTTCTGTATATATGATTTAACACAGGGGTGAAGAATCATGAATTAATTTTCATATAAAATTGCAATATCTTTGCCAAGGTCTAAAGTTTGAAATGCAACACAGGAAAGCAAAATCCAGGTGACTAGACTATTTAAAGTATTAAGTGAATTTGTTATTTTAGTTACAAGGGCTAATTTCTTGAGTATAAAAAGCTCTTATGAATCAACGTGAAAAAGACAAATCTCAAAATGGGGGAAAGACTTGAATATAGTCTGCTGCTGCTGCTAAGTCGCTTCAGTCGTGTCCGACTCTGTGCAACCCCATAGACAGTAGCCCACCAGGCTACCCCGTCCCTGGAATTCTCCAGACAAGAGTCCTGGAGTGGGTTGCCATTTCCTTCTCTGGTGAATACAGTCTAGGTAAAGGAAATATAGATGGCATTTAGACATGAAAAGATGCTCAACTTTTCTAATAAGAGAAAATGCAAACTTAAGCCACTGAAAAGCCATTAAAAAAAAAATCTGAAATTGGCAAAAATCCAAAAGATTTGAAAATGTTTCAGTGACTCCCGTGTCACTCAGAGTTAAGCCCAACTCTTTGTCACGGTCTATCGCTTCACTTCCCTCTGTCTTCATTTGCTCCCCTCAGCGTCCCTACCCCACCCTGGTCATACTGGCCTTCTTGTGGCTCCTTGACTAGCCTAGGGGGGACCTTGGAGCCTTAGGACTTAGAAATGGCTATTTCCTCTACCCAGAATGTTCTTTCCCTAGATCTGCCTAACCACCTCCCTCACTTCCTTTAAGTCTTTGCTCAAATATTACCTTCTCAAGCCTAAAGAGTCCATCTGCAATGCAGGAGACACAGGACACTCAGGTTTGATCTCTGGGTCAGGAAGACCCCCTGGAGGAGGAAATGGCAACCTACTCCAGTATTCTTGCTTGAAAAATCCCATGGATTTTTCAGTGATCCCTGGCAGGCTACTGTCCAAAGGGTCACAAGGAGTTGGACACAACTGAAGTGATTTAGCATGACTGATGCATGAACACACACATGCATTACCACTTTAATCTGTAATAAGACAAAACAGTTTTCTTAACTGACTTAATATCCTGAGTTTAAACAAGTACATTGAGGTCGGGGCTTTCATATAAAGAATCAGATGCAGAGATGAATATCTTGAGATTATTTTCAGATTCAATCATTTACTGATTTTGTTTCAACACAAGACTACTTAACTAATAATGTCTGTTTCATGCTTTTATTTCACTTTTGGCAGTGATAAGACCTGGGTGGTGGTATAATACTAATATTTCAAACATCTTAGCAGGTTCTTCAGCAGCCATGATGCTGTGGCAATTTCATTAACTGTCAAATAAGAAAAGCTTTGAAGGTATTTTTTATAATTTAAAAAGATTTTCAATTATTTTAATAAAAATTCTATTATTTTTATTATCTTAATAATGCAAGAGATGGAAATGACTGCCAGAAATCTGGGCTTAGAAATCTTAAAAAGAAAAAAAAAAAAAAAAACCCCAAACATGACAAGACTATTTAAAACTCTAAAATAGGTTACCACAAAGGAAGTTGTAGAAATGTGTTTGGCCTAAAACCTGTTTGAAAATAATTTTTTCACATAAAATACTAAAATGCAATGGAATTGGTTGGCCAGACATAAATTCTAAGGGGTCTTGACCTAAAATGATAATCTGGGCAGTAATACAACACAAAAACTCTATAGAAATCACCGAGACAGCACTTCTCTGGTGGCCCAGTGGCTAAGACTCTCCCCTCCAGTGCAGTGAGCCCGGGTTTAATCCCTGGTCAGGGCATTAGATCTTGCAGGCTGCAACTAAAAGACCACATGCTGCAACATTGTGGGATCCAGTGTAGAAAAATAAACATAGAAAAACAAATTTAGAAAAATAAATATACAAAAATAAGTATTAAAAAAAAAATCACCAAGACTATTGCAGTGGAAAGGTCCTTGGAAATACCAACTTCTTTAGTTTTAAGGTCACAACACATGAACTGCCTAGAAATTCTTTTCCTTTTTAGTGTTGTGCCCCTCTTGCCACAAAAGTGATTTCCTAAGATTAACTAATCCATGTTCTGAGCTTAAATTCAGTGTTTACTAGGTTTGGTTTGGTTGATTGAAAGACTTCAATGAGAAGAAAGACTACATATCTCAGTATAAGGAGGAAAAGTGATACTCAAAGTTTTAAAAAAGGGAAAATATAAAATAATAAAGACATGGTTGGGCCAGTAATGGATAACAAACTATACATTTGAAAAGTATATGATGAAAATAAAGTCAAAACTATATTTAATTGTATGGAACTTTTATTTCAACATATTACAACAAATTAAGTGTCCAGAAATATTTGTTTTGTATATTTTTAAAATTCCATAAAAAACATAAACCTATCTATGAAGACAGCCTTATATAAAAGTAATGGAGATATTTAGAATAAACAGACTTGCTCATACAATCACTGTTTTCTTCAGCCCTTCCCAAACCACTGAGGTAGTTGAGTGAAGCGTAGTCCTCTCTTAATGGATGCTTCTCTCTGTGGATTTTAACACAATAAACATAAATAAAATAGGATAAGCATTGTTGTGCTTGCTACTCCCTGTTAGTGGTATTACTCAGACAATAAAATACCACCTGGAGAGAAACTATAGGGTAAATATGAGTAAAGAGAAAGGATTTGCTCAACCTCTTATATGTCACTGGAGGTCTAAATTGCTTCCTAAATCTAAAAGATCTGTTTCCTGCAGTGAGACAAGGATAGCTCATGAGATTAAACCAAGGACTCAGAAAATATTCCTCAAGAATAATCACCACCTTTTGCTCTAACTCCACTCCTTACATTGTAGCATGTGCATTCTATCCCATTGGGGAAAAAAAAATAAGATGCACTAACTTTTAGGTAAGAAGTGTTCAAACTTTGTAATCTGAGGCTCAATAACATTTCACATCATTTGTTTGATTGCATGAATTCAACAGCTGAGATGAACTGTAGAGGAAATCTTTATTCACAATGAAGGGAAAGAGCACACTGGAGAGGAGCGGAGCAGACCGACCAAGGATGTGGGTTTTACAGCCAGAACTAGAGGTTGTGAATTTACTAGTTGTGTGACTTTGGGCAAGTCACCTTCATGTTCTGTCCCTTAGCTGCCAAATGTCCCTCCATCTGCCAAATGGAGATAATACAAGGAGTGGTCATGAGGATTAAAAGAGTTAACCATACAATGTACTTAGAATCTGGTTCATTGTAAGCACTCAATACGCATTAATCATCTTCATAGCGTGATTGACAAAATGGATAGTTCAAAAGGGGAGACTGGAATTGGTTGCATGTAGTGAGACCAAAGAGAAAGCAGTAAGGGGTGCACGTAACTCCAATGTGCTCAATGCACTGAAGCTGGCATCCAGTGGCCACCCTCAAGGTGTACTCTTAGCTCTGCTTGAGGGTGAAGAGTTAGTCCATGGGTAGCTGGAGCCTGCCTTTTAGCTCAAAACTCCTGTCTGCTAGTCCCAAATATGAAGACCTCTCTTGAGTAGGAATCTTGCTCTTGAAGCCACCCTTGGCTGTCACATCCCTCAAAATATATCCAACTTACCATGAATCATGGAGAAATGTGTTTCTAAAGATGTCTTGGCAGAGGGATGGGGTGAATGTGGGATGGGGTAAGGATTCATACAACTTTGTGCAATCTGCCATTGGATGTGTCTCTTCTTCATATGCCAGTGTCTCATTTCCTTTCTCTTTTACCATCTGACCTCCAAGATGCCTCTCCATTACCTTAAATAACTGAGCTCTGCTCTCCACTTAGGTTCCTCAAACAAGAGCCTGGGAATTAGCCCATGAGAAATCATCTCTAATTAATCTAGTCCCAACCTTACGCATGCAGCTTATCAAAGTATTCACTCAGTAAAAACAAATATCTTTCTCAGAAAATGTCTACTTGTAAGAAAATTTTCTCCATCTATGGTTAAAGGTTAAAACAGACAGTGGGTCCTCAACACATAACAGTTCCCATCCTAAAATCATTTGAGGTTCTGATAGCCATTGTAGGAGAGGAATCAGGAAAATAGAGAGGGAAAGTAAGGAGTGGAAACTTTACATGTATCAGATACTTTAGTATTACACCACTTCAGAAACTGCTTCTTGCTTGTTTTAAGAGAAAGAGGAAGGAGAAAGGCCATAAAGAGTTTTATAAAAAATACATCACTAGCATCAAATTATAAGAACTGGTTGTTACTTTATTCTTAAGATGGTTGACAAGCAGACTGAGCTTTGATAAGAGAGCCAACACTACCAACACAGCAATATGAACACTGAGACTCTCGAAGCTTTCCTCAACCTCTTTATCAAGACTAGAACTTTATGGATGTTCTGGCATGCCTCAGAACTCAATAGATTTTCACTGTTTCTGCAAAGGTACACCAGAAGCTGCTCTCTCTTCTATACTGCCATTCCTTCAAGGTTTTGACAGCAAAAAATATGCTGTGAGGTGGAGGAAGTTTCTTGCTAATGGAGCATGAGGTGCTTCTCGGGCTTCTGAAGGGATTAGTTTTTGTTTTTTTTTTTTTTTTTACCTATTGTTGCTTGCCTTGGGCTTCTAAATAGGCAAACAACCTGTGAGCTTCCTCAGCCCGTACAGTGTCTGCCTGGAATGTGGTTCAGCCACCGCCTTCTGGATTCGGAATAGAGCCTGGGAGGCGATGATGCGCAGAGATGGCTCAGGATCATGCAGCAGTTTTTTCAGATCTAAGTGGTTAAGAAAACAAATTGCAGGTGAAGATCTACAGAAACGATCACTGGTCAGACACAAAGGACTCAGTATGCCCAGAGCAGCTGAGACGGAGACCTAACTTTTTCCAAGCCTCTGTGTGAAAGTCTGTATATTTGTGGGTCAATTCCAGTTTTCACTTAAAAAACTTACTTGTTTCTGAGTTGCCAAATATTTTACTCCTTTAAAATAATCAAACTGCTAAGTAGTCCAAGTTCAAATTATATGGGCCTGGCAGACTATATATAACACTGTTAATTTCTGAGTTCCTGTGTTGGCCCTGGAAAGTGAAAGTTGCTCAATGCAACCTCTTTGCAACCTCATGGATTACACAGTCCATGGAATTCTCCAGGCCAGAATATTGGAGTGGGTAGCCATTCCTTTCTCCTAGGGGATCTTTCCAACCCAGGGATTGAACCCAGGTCTCCTGCATCTCAGGTGGATTCTTTACCAGCTGAGCCAACAGGGAAGCCCCCTTGGTCTTTGAGGTTACTCTTAAATCATTTAGTTCAGTTCGGTTGCTCAGTCGTGTCTGACTCTGCAACCCCATGGACTACAGCATGCCAGGCTTCCCTGTCCATCACCAACTCCCGGAGCTTGCTCAAACTCATGTCCATTGAGTCGGTGATGCCATCCAACCGTCTCATCCTCTGTCAACCCCTTCTCCTCCTGCCTTCAATCTTTCCCAGTATCAGGGTCTTTTCCAGTGAGTCAGTTCTTCACATCAGGTGGCCAAAGTATTGGAGTTTCAACTTCAGCATTAGTCCTTCCAGTGAACATTCAGGACTGATTTCCTTTAGGATGGACTGGTTGGATCTCCTTGCAGTCTAAGGGTCTCTCAAGAGTCTTCTTCAACACCACAGTTCAAAAGCATCAATTCTTCAGCGCTCAGCTTTCTTTATAGTCCAACTCTCACATCTATACATGACTACTGGAAAAACCATAGCTTTGACTAGATGGACCTTGGTGAGCAAAGTAATGTCTCTGCTTTTTAATATGGTGTCTAGGTTGGTCATAGCTTTTTTCCCAAGGAACAAGCATCTTTTAATAAATCATATTCCCTTTTTTCTTTAAAATTTTTAGTGTATGTTTTCTTATTGCAAAGGAAATACATGTTCATTGTGTGGAAAATTTAGACAATACACGTATGTAAGCACTAGAAGAAAATCAAAGTCACTTAAAATCCTCCTGCCAGAGAAAACCAGCGTTAACTTTTTTGGTCTATTTCCATTCATTCATTTACACTGGTATGTTTCTACTTTTGTCCAGATGGAGCCATAATATACAAACTATCTAATCATTGCTTATTTTATTTAATAATATTGCATCATCATTTATCTAAGTCATTAAAACATTTTCCTACAATATTTTTCATGGCTAAATATATGATTCTACAATATGGATAAACTCTATTTAACTAATTTCCTATTTTTTTAAATCTTAGATGCCCCCTATTTTTGCCATTTTAAATAACATTTAAATGAACATTCCTGTAACAATTTTTGCTAAATTTCATAGTTTAATTTCCTAGAAGTGGGATAAAGTCAGTGTGTATGTTTATTTAAAGGGTTTTGATAGGGACTTCCCTGGTGGTCCAGTGGCTAAGACTCCATGCTGCCAGTGTAGGGGGCCCGGATTCAATCCCTGGTCAGGGAACTAGATCCCACATGTTGCAACTAAGAGCTCACATGCTACAACTGAAGATCCTGCATGCCTCAACTAAGACTCAGCACATCCAAACAAAATTTTTTAAATAATATGTAATAAAAAGTTATGCTCATACCAGTGTATGATAATGTCAGTTTTCCCTTAACACATCAACATTGAGTATTAACTAGTAATCTTTGCCATTTTGAAAGAAAAACACATACTGTCATCTCATCATTGTTTTATTTCACAAACTTTTGATTACTAGTAATATTTTTCATATACTTATTGGCTATTGTTTTTCTATGAACTACTTATTCATATTGTTTGCACTTTTCTTTGGTAGAAATAGTGATGTGTTTTAAGGATATTAACCATTTATCATAATGTAAATATACTCATCCCATATTATTTCCTGTTTTTCAGTTTTGTCTGCTTTATTTTTCAAAGTTGATTTTTAAAAATTTTATGTAGAAATATCTATCATTTTACTTTATGGATATGTGTTTGAATATTAGAAAAAGGTCAGGAATTCCTGGTGGTCCAGTGGTTAGGATTCCATGCTTCCACTGCAGGGCACATGGGTTAGATCCCTGGTCAGGCAACTAAGATCCCATTATGGCATGGCAAAGCCAAAAAAAAAGAAAAAAGGTCTCTCTTTAATTTCTAATTCTCCAAGACTTCAAAAATACTCAGGACCTCTTCGTAGTCTGGAGCTTTGATTCAAGTAGTAGTTTAGTCTTTAAACCCATCATGCTTATTTTAAAAATGGAATATTTGACTAGTCTTTAGTTTTTTACAGTTCTTGCATGAAGATCTATGTGTTCCACAGAACACATGAAAGAGCAGACATCAATTTTGGAATGCAAAGGAACTGAAACTTATTTTTGTCATGAAATTCATCTCAATTCATATTTAAATTTTTGTTATTTTTTTGTTCAAATTTAGCCAAAATTAACTGTGATAAATGACATAAACTTGTTCAAAAAGGAGTGCTAGGATGTTCTGCCCCGTTTCTAAGACAGATAAGCCACTGTAAGGCAAGAAAAAGGGTGGGATTATTCCGTTAGATTTAACCACGGGAGATTGAGGATATTTGACTGTCTGCCTTACAAAATGGCAATTTAATAAGGTTCTTTCTGATGTATACGTATATAATTTACACATTGGGTTGGCCAAAAACGTCAATGAACTTTTTGGCCAACCCTATATATATCTTTGGGATTCCCAGGTGACTCATTGGTAAAGAATCCATCAGTCAATGCAGGAGATACAGGAGACGTGGGTTTGATCCCTAGGTCAGAAAGATTTCCTTGGAGTAGGAATGGCAACCCACTCCAGTATTCCTGGCTAGAAAATTCCATGAACACCAGGAGCCTGGTGGGCTACAGTCCACTGGGTTGCAAAGAGTCAGATATGACTGAGCAACTAAGCATGCGCGCGTGCACACACACACACACACACCCTAAATCATCTGTACAGATATATTTTATATATATATATAGATAAATTCGGAATGGAAAAAGAACTTTGGTTCCCCAGCATTTTAGATTAGAAAATAATTTCTTTTTAATTGACCAGAATTGACCACGTGAAATCTCATCTCATAGAATAAAATAACTACATGACTTTTCTTTTTTGCTTTTGATATCTATGGGGAAGTAGAGCACCATAGAGAAAAGTGGCGTGATCTTTCTTAAATAAGTTTCGGCTTCTGGCTCTATTACCAGTTACATATTTTTATTTTAAAAGCAATGAATTGTTCAGGACTTTGGTTCTCAAAGTACATGCTTTTGAATAGTGAGACTTAGCACTTCATGGCACTTTCTGATTGTAGAACTACTTATTAAATGAAAATAAATATTCTCTGAGTGACAAATCCCCAAAGCTGTACAACTGTAGAAAACCACTTACATGACAGCTGCCTTACAGGAATATAAAACTTCTCTGTTAGCAAGTCCCCCCACCTTACAGAACAACAGCCACGTACAGAAAAGACGGCTGCAGTCCATTCGTGTAGTACTCATGAAGTATCATCATAACTTACTAAGATAAAATTTCTACATAATTTATTTTCTGACAGATGAAATTCAGAAATTGCCCCTGAGACATTTCCAAAACAAATAGGGTCATGTCTTTTCTGGAAGAAGGAACTGGCCTGAAGGAGACTATCATTTGGTTGAAGCCTCCAAGGGCTTTTTCGTAAATAACACAAGTCAGGCTCTCTGGTTCCCAGTCTCATCTCTACCACAGAGCCTGCCTCAAGTACCTTCCAAGCACAGGGTACCCCAAGTCCAAGTGTTCACCACTTACCATCCTCTATCCAGTCAGTACCCTTCGTCCCGAGTTCGCTGTGATCCATGTACTTCGATAAGAGCCCTAAATGCAAGATAAAGTCCGTGAGTCTGTGATCTGGGTCAGGCTTTATGGAGCTGGCACAACTGACCTTCTGATAATTAGATTTTCTAAAGACCGAATTCCTCCAAGTGCCTGATAGTTACCTATGGATAACATAGCCCCTTTCTCCAAAGAAGTATTTTCAAGGTCACCTTTGTTCATAAAGAATAGGGACACCCAAAATCGCAATTTGGGAAAGCACAGGATAAAAGTGACTGTAGAAATGAAAGGATTTTCTCTGTACCTACAAATAAGACTGCTGCTCTTCTGATAGGAAGTTTTGCATTCTTGGAGAACATCAATGTTTGGGCTAAGATGTCGACCTTCCCCTTGCATTTTTTTCCCTAAGTGGGGGAGGGGAGGAAGAGTATGAAGGAGTGAAGTAGCAGCACTATTTTTATCAGCCTCACTATATAGGGACTATGTCAGATATACATACAGAGTACAGTGGTTGAAATAACTACAGTTGCTCAGTGAATTATGCCACAATAATGAGGCCCTTGGCAAGTTTAAATCCTCTGAATATACCTCGCTCACACCCGCATACTGTGCCTGCAGTGCCTCTAATCTGTCGTTTCTTTTCTGTATCTAAGTCTTCTCGGGTCTCTAAGCTCAGTCTTGAGCTCTGCCTTCCGGATAGCTAATCCCTGACAGCTCTCACCTTCCTGACCTAACCCTGTACTTTTGAGTGTTTTGCAGGTCCTTCTGTCTTGGCAACACATCATTTTCCACCTTGCGTTTCCATTCAGTGTTTCACAGAGGTTTAATCTCCCTCACTAGCTTGTAAACTTCCCTTACAAGTTTTATCTTGGGCATGTTTCTAGGTTCTCCACGGCCTATTGCACATGGAGCGTGTTACGCTTAATGGATGAATGAATTCACCCCTCAGTGGATCGCTTACCAGGATAGGCACCTCGGGGACAGGAAGAGGACAGGATTTTGTTCTTATAGAACTTATGATTTAACATGTACAATATGTAGTCTCATCGACCAACAGGATTGAACTTCTTGCTGCAAAAATACTGTCATTAGTGCATCTGTGATAGGTTTGATTGCAGGTCAGAGAGATAATCCTGCATGGAAAGCCTGACATGAGGGCATTGTGGGGCTTCCTAGGCCAGTAAGTTTGATCAGAGGAGGCCATACTGGGTCCTCAATGGCTGCACATATGGAAGATCCCTGGGAAGAGTCAGTCCTGGGGTCTTCATAATAGGAACCCAATGGTTCTAGACTCGGTGTCTAGAAAACCATGGATGGGCCTCCTTGGGCTGCTCTGGCTCAAGCCTGCCCCTAGGATGAGTCACAGTAGCCTCTGTCAAGTTTGCAAAGAGAAAGGATGCCATCTCGGGGCCTCTCAGAGCCAGGGGCATGCTGCCATTGTGTTGCAAGGCTTACAACAGCACGGCAGCCCTTGCTTGGGGCTCCTGCTCTGATGGAGGGTAAAATAATCCACTATGTCCAAAGAAAGGATTAAAGGTCATTGCAAAGGCCATACATAATCCCATTTCCATTCACTCCATAAGTAGTTTTTGAGCATGTACTATCACCCTGATTCTGCAGCCCCTAAGTCAGGTTAGTGGAGTTCCCAAGAGTTCACCAGGCTTTTTTGGTGAGGAAGGATGGTAAGAGAAAGTGAATTTTGATTCATTTGGGAGGAAACTACAGAAAAATCGATTCATAGAACAGGACTGGTCATAGATATCAAATGCTGATGTGAGAAGGATGGGAAATGTTTCTTTTATGTCATATTCCTTCATTAAAAACTATGTCTAAAAAAAATAAGCATGTCAGCATATTAAGGAGCTAACAAAGCCATCATCGCTCACGTACAAAGAATTTGCAGATTGTTGCAACATCACTAGGGTTGATGAACCAGGGAGCTTTGCAGTACACTGCTTGGGGCAGCTTCCACTTCAGGAACTGGGCACATATAGTTAGCACTTGCCTGCTCTCCTGTGAAAAGGATGATCAGAGATCGGCATTTTCAAACATGTTTTAGCTGAGATTACCTTTCTTCAAATAAAACACTAAAGTCTAATATGAGAAACTCAGAATTATCTTGGTTGAAGTGAGGGCAAGGGGCCGTCCTTCAACTTTCCCAAACAGTCTCTACAGAGAACCCATAAAATCTGCAGGGTTCTGGGGGAAATGGAGAAACCACTGGTCAAGGGCATAAGTGAGAGCTGCTAACATCAAGTTTAATACCCAGATCAGAGATTTGGGCAGGAGTCCCATGCTCTAGAGAGAGGGCACCCATGTCTACTGGCTGCTCCTAAGTTATTCTCCTGTCACTCCACACAGGAAAGTAGCTCCCCATCTCACAGTCCTTGTAAATCTCTAGCTTGGAAGAAACTTTGGAAAGTATTGATCCTCTCTTGATTGTGATACTTGAGCAAAATTAGCAAGCGGTCTTCTTTACTCACTACCCTCAGAAGGCTTCCATGCACCATATAACACCCCTGGTAAGTCTCCAAGCAAGTGTTTGGTCCCAGGTCCACTAGACATCTGGGCCATTAAAATTCCTCTGGGGACAGATGGGAATGCACATTAGTTCAGTTACTCTGTTAGGAATTGTAAGTGTCTAGTAAAGTTAAAGATACCCGGATATTCCACTTTTGGGTTGATGCCCTAAAGAAACTCTCACACATGTACAAAAGAAATCTACCAAAATGCTCATTGCAGCACTGTAATAAGGAAAAAATAAAAGTAATCTAAATGTCCAGGAATAAAAGAATGGGATAAGTTGCAGTTACACGGCAGTATTCTGTAGAGCAGTGATAAGTGAACATGAATAAATCTTCTAAATATGTTAAACAAAGGAAAGCAAGTTGCTGAAAGGATTTACAAATGATGTGAACAAAGTTTTTTAAAATATATTTTTTTTCTTTTTTTTTCAGATAAAGTTTTAAAACATGAAAACTAATACTCAGAAATGATAACAAAATTTGAGATTTTGTATGATTTTTTCTGGTTTTATTTCTCAGCCTAGGTGGTATTGATGTTTTAACTTATGTTGTCAGTGCCAGTGATTCCTAACCTTATGCTAGAAAAATAAGCCCAGAGTCTTGACTGCTCTAGGCTTTGTCTGATAGCCAAAAGCTGGCTGGGGCGCAGGGTAGGGGTTGGGGATCAGTACTGTCTGTCCCTGTCCATGACCTCTATGGGGCACACTTTCCCAACACTTGGTTGGGAAGCTCTGCCCTATACTTCATTGAAGTCTGAAATATTTTATATTTATGGCTATAAGGCCATAACACTTCCCCCATAACAAGGTGCCAAGGTCCACTGTAATCTTTAGTCCTGTTTCTGAATCTTTCTGTAAGGAGGAGCATAGGTGGGTGGGAGCTCCAGCATTTTCCCAGACTCCTTGCAGCCTAAACCCACCTCTCTGGCTGTAACTGGTAGTTACAGGACCTTGAAAAAGACCAGCTTCTGAGGTATGGGACAGTACTAAAGATGATGCCATCCCTCCCACAATTCTTATGGAGGAACCCCTGGAAGATTAAGGAGATTTCAAAGAAATCCCCAGATTTCAGAGAAGCTTCTCTTGCTGATTTACAGTCTCAACACTAGTCTATTTGCCTCAAGGCCACAAGGCCGTTCTTGAATTAAAGAGAAAAGACAACAGACTGTGATCCTCATTAACAGAAAGAGTTTGTTGAATTGGGCAGTGTGTTGAGAGTTCTGGGCTAGGCTGAATATTGGAGGGGCTACAGAAAGGTATAATAAAATACATGATTCTCACCCACATAGGGTCATGATTTGCTAGACAGAAACAAGGAGTAAGATTTTTCACACAATTCACTTAGGTAAAATAATTGAAAGGAAGCCTGTGCCAGAGGAAATGGGGAATAAAGATGGTACCACAGAGTCCCTGCTGTCAGATATGAGTGCCTGTTTGCAGAGTTGGCTCTGGATTTGAACTTATTCAGGGCTGAAAGAAGTTAACAGTAGGCATTACCGCAGCAATTGCATCATTCTCATCCTGAGAATACAGAAGAAGTGGGACCAAGCTGTCCAGGACTTGGCTCTCTACACCCTTCTTATCTGTGTATTTCACAGACTTTATGGAGGCTCCAAAGAGGATCATGGAGAAACGATGAACATCCGGTCTTACCTATAAAGGATGTTCAAAGGGAAGCAACTCACTGAATGTGTTCATGCTTAACTTATAAGAGCTCTGGGTTGGCTGAAATGCCAGTCATAACATGAGGATATTTAGATGTTGGTAGCTGAGGGCAAGAAACCAAATATATGGGGAGACAGTCACACTTGCTGCTTTGCATGGCTCATTCTCTCACGCTAAGTCATCACCGCTTGTATCTACTCCTAGTAATAACTATTCACTCAAGCTGGGCTTGCCAGGTGGTGCTAGTGGTAAAGGACCTGCCTGCCAATGCAGGAGATGTAAGAGATGCTGCTTTGATCTCAGGGTTGGAAGATCCCCCAGAGGAGGGCATGGCAACCCACTCTAGTATTCTTGCCTGGAGAATCCTATGGATAGAGGAGCCTGGCAGGCTACAGTCCATGGGGTCACAAAGAGTTGGACACGACTGAAGCAACTTAGCACACACGTATCATGTGCTGTTTTGCTGAAATTAAAAATTCCAGCCTTGGCATATTTGACTCTTTAGAATGTGGTTCATTGTGCCACATATATTTCTCTCTTTTTTTTTTTTTGGTTTGGCCACTTAGCATGCAGGATCTTGGTTCCCCGACCAGGGATGAAACACACGCCTCCTGCACTGGAAGCACAGAGTCTTAACCACTGGACAGCCAGGGAAGTCTCCCCGTGTATTTTTTTTTTACAAACCTTTGGGATCTGGGATGGAGACATAAGTATAGTCCACTATCCTGACCCAGTCTTGATTGTTCTTTGAAAGAAAAGACAATGTCTTATCTTATAGAAACTCCTTCATCCCAGGAAGCAGGGGAGTACCTTGGCAAGTCTCTATGCCTCAGTTTTTTTAATCTGAAAAACAGTAACACCAACCCTACCAACATCACGGGTTACCTAGAAGGGTCTTAAGAGATTTGAAAGTGCTCTGAACAAAAAAGTACGATCTAAAATAGAGTGTATTTAATGCTATCCCAGCTTCGGTTTGCTGTTATGCCAATTACCTTCCCCCTAGGAAAGTCTCTCCTCTCCCCTTATCTTACATCACCAAATAAGGAGAAGAGGGTCCTCATCATGGTAGTCAGGGTGGTGAAATCCATCGTCCTGACAAACTGCAGGAGTATCTGAATGGCCAACAAAACAATCTTCTCGTCGGATTCATATAAAAGGTCTAGGATGCACGGCAGCAAGCTCTTGATGTCTTCCCTCTGTGTGCCCAAAACAGCGTATCACCACCCCTCCCGATGGCACTTCCTCAGGTACCAGAGTAGGCCTTCCCGCCTGCGCTCTGTCCCTGGTGCTTGTTGAGATTTTGGTTGTCTTGGCCAGCCCGGAACAGAGAATTAAAGAGGGCCTGATGCCCTCTCTCAGTATTGGCAGGACTGATATGTAGAGAAGGCAAAAGAGTTTATGGACATATGTACACCTGTGGCTGATTCATGTTGATGTATGGCAGAAACTAACACAATATTGTGTAGCAATTATCCTTCCATTAAAAATAAATACTTTTAAAAACTAATTAATTAAAAAAATAGAATCCATGGTCTTACCATTTCCCCCTGTCTGGTAAGATAGCACAGTCCCCTCAGGGCAAGTATTTTAAAGGGATTATTTTCAAGAAGTAGCCAGTCTTTCAAGCGGGCAACACAGTATATGCTGGGAAATCTCCTAGCCACTGGACTCTGAAGAAGCTGAAAGAATCCAGAAAGTGGTCAAAGAAGTCACCTTTTAGCCCTTTTTCATGAGGGGAGCCAGCTTCCCACCAACTCCAAAACACCTATTTTCCTTTGAAACTTCTATTCTGCAGCACATACATTACAGGATGATGCTTCTACTTCCAGGGACCTAAGGAATACTGAGTATGTGGGCAGAAGAACTTTTTTTCAATAAGGTTAAAATTTGGACCATTTCTATCCTATGTCTGAATTGGACCCTAGTTGGTCACTCAGTTGGACATGGCCTAGGAAGGCCAGTACAGCTGCTTTATAAGGCTTCCTGAATACACACAGCCTCTAAAGAAGTCTTACCTCCACAAAAAAGCCTGCTGATGTGAGCTTATGTTTATCGTTCCCTCGGTTAAGAAAAGGCACTAACAGGTACATGACCTTATGTGCAAGGAGGTGATTTCTCTCCAGCAATGCACTGCAAAACAGAACACAGAAAGACTCTCAGAAATGCTCTTATTCAGAGGGCAATGTTCCCAGGGTGAGGTGGGGAGTGAGGGGGCTCTCAAGTTTTTGCTCAGTTTCAGGCACACAGGAGGATCAGCTCAGTTCAGCCACTCAGTCATGTCCGACTCTTTGCGACCCCACGGACTGCAGTATGCCAGGCCTCCCTGTCCATCACCAACCCCCGGAGTTTACTCAAACTCATGTCCATTGAGTCAGTGATGCCATCCAACCATCTCATCCTCTGTCGTCCCTTTCTCCTCCCGTGGGTAAGGCAGGGCTGAAAAATTTGGCTGGAATTATGGGCATTTTCCCATTCTGGGATGGGAAGGTTATTCAACCTTGGTGGCTGTGATAACTAAAAGGAGGGGAAAATACCTTAAAACACAGCTGATTTAGAGTAGGGATGCATGGCAAGGAAGTCTTACTTGGCAAGGAGGGATACTCCCTGAAGATGGCAATCTTTTCCTTCCAGAAGGGTCCATCCTTTATTCTTTTCCATGATGTTGAATTCCTGCCAGCAGAATGTTCTGAGGAGGAGAGTCTTTGTAGCCTGTATGGCGAAGCTAATCCAATAAAAACAGTACAAGTGAATATAGTACAGGTCCCTTCAACTGAAGAGCATAAAATTACCTGCTTTCACCAAGGAGGGCCATGTATTGTTAGCTGCTGGACTGTAATTCTCTTCTTTCTAGATTTTCCTAAAGATTCTCAGTGCTCTAATACTTGAAAGGCCCTTCACACAAACTCTAAGCATAAAGAAATCCAGTAAAATTGTGTTTCCCTGGGAGAATGGAAAGAAGTCTATGATAAAAACAAATGATGTAGGATGCTAAATTGAGATTCACTGCTTTTTTCTTTACAGCTTTATTTAGATAGAATTTATACCCCCCTAAAATTTCCTCCACTGCTTTTGAAAACTACTTATCGAACTAGTAATTTGGACATAATATCAGAGAATCTTGAAGCTGGAAAGGTCCTTGGAGAATACCTAGCCTGAGCTCACTTACAGATAAGGAAACTGAGGCACAGAACAACAGAAAGATTTGCCCAGAGTACAGAGCTATTTAAAGGAATGAGAATCAGGACTTCCCTCATGGTCCAGTGGTTAAGAATCCGCCTGCCAGTGCAGAGGACACGGGTTTGATCCCTGCTCCAGGAAGCTTTCACATGCAGCAGGGCAACCAAGCCTGTGCATCACAACTATGGAGCCTTGCACTCGAGCCACCACTAAGCCCGTGCACGTAGAGACCATGCTCCACAGTGAGAAGCCATGGCAATGAAAAGCAACTAAAGAGTAGCCCCCAACTCGCTGCAACAAAAGAAAGCCTGCATGCAGCAACAAAGACCCAGCAGATTCTCTTGAGCAAAAGGTGACTATTCTTCATTATGGTACAATTCCACCTATCATATGTGAAAACCCCAGAAAAATAAACCCACATGCTGAAGCATTCCTACAGAGTTTTGACTGCCTACAACAGTGGCGCACATGTCATCTTTGTATCTTAAGCAGTATACTGTTTGGATTTCTATTACAGTCTTTTACCAAGTGGTGTGAGAAGCTTGGTGTTAATGTCTTTTTCCATTTCAAGCTTAGATCAAGAATATTTTTATTTTCTGGAGAAAGAGGTATCTACTGTATAACTGCACCAAAGTACAAATGAAAGGAAAGTTTTCTTCAATAGGGTAATACTGCAGCCATGTAGATAAAACCACAAATATATCGTTTGTTAGGTTCACTAAGATGTGGGAAAATGCTTTTCTGTTAGTAGAATGCAGAGACCTACCTAAGCCACATAATAAAATTCTTTTACCAATAATAAAAAAAAAGAACTTAAAATAAATACTTAAACAAAAAATGAGAATCAGAACTCAAGTTCTTCTGCCTCTTAGTCAGGCGTTCTTAAATATTCCACATTAGAGCACTTCCTCAGAAAGAAATCCATGTGCCCCAGAAATACTGAGAAATTTCTATTGAGACCCTAAAGGGGAATTTAAAAATACCTCCCTATACATGAAGCAGAAATGAGAAAATGCTCAGCTTTGGATCAGTTGGTCTTGGAGGTAGGTTTAAGGCTGTCTCGCTTGTCTCTGCCATTACCTGATTTATCAAGAAAGGGCTGGCATGCTATCACCCATTATTTTGCAGGGCATCTGAACTCAGATAGCCAAATTTGCCTTGACATCAATAAGACTGGGCTTCCCTAGTAGCTCAGCTGGTAAAGAATCTGCCTGTAATGCAGGAGACCCCAGTTTGATTTCTAGGTAGGGAAGATCCGTTGGAGAAGGGATAGGCTACCCACTCCAGTATTCTTGGGCTTCCCAATATCCCTTGGCTTAGATGGTAAAGAATTCACCTGCAATGCAGAAGACCTGGGTTTGATCCCTGGGTTGGGAAGAAGATCCCCTGGCGAAGGGTACGGCTACCCATTCCGGTATTCTGGCCTGGAAAATTTCATGGACAGAGGAGCCTCATGGGCTTCAGTCCACGAGGTTTCAATGTGCCAGACATGACTGAGTGACTTTCACCAGTAAGACCAAAGAGAGCCAGTGAGAGCACAGAATGATTCCTGGTCAACAAAATCACAATGGACAGTACCACAAGGGGGTGACCTCTGAAGACACTTCCTGTTCTGGGTACAGGCCACTGGGGATGGCAACATCAGACATGGTGAGGCCGATGGTGTGGTGAACCTGGATGAGCAGTGTCATGAGAAGTTGAGGAAAGAGCCGGAACGTAGCTGCTCGGAGTCTGTTCCCCACAAACACCTCATAAAGGGCATCTGTTACCTGTGGAGAAAAGCACACAGCAGAGCTGAACACCCACTAGTCCTAAGACTTACTTTTGTTTTACTTCTGCTTGTTCCAGAACTTGCTTTCTGGTTCTACTAAATCACAGGCAGAACAGCAGTGGTAAGCAATGCAGGGACATGAAAAGTGACAGGGTAATGGGATAGGAGTCAAGTTGTCACTAAAAGTTGCCAGAGTGAGGGACATCCTGACATCCAGAAGGAAACTATAAGGAAACCATTCACATATTTGACCACATACAAACTTAAAGCCCGGGCAAAAAGAAAATTGTTCATAAACAAAGTCGGATGATAGATAATTTGCAGAAACGTGATAGTTTTAATATATACAATGCCCTTATATGTCAGGAAGAACAAATGAAAAGGCCTGCTACTCAAAGTGTGGCCCACCTACCAGGAACACTGGCGTCACCTGGAGCTGATTAGAAATGGAGACTCACAAGCACCCCTCCTCCACCCCAGAATGTGTGCATCAGAGTGTGTATTTCAATTAGATCCTTAGATGATGGTGGGTTGCATGTGTGTTAAAACTGAGAAGCACTGGTGTGTAGGACATGAAGAAAGAAGAAACATAAATGACCAACTGAAGAACATACATAAATGTTGAACCTTGCTAATGATGGAACTGTAATTAGAATATGTTCCTTTTTCACCTAGCAGCTAGACAACAATGCTCGATGTGGCAAGGCCATGCTCACACATGATGACAGAAGGGCAGAGTTCTAGAGGGTCATTTGAGAACATTACCAAAAGTTTAAATGAGCCCACCATTTGGCCCAGAAATTGCCCTTCAGTGAACTTTATCCTAAGAAAACAATTGGATATGTATAACAAAATTGATGCAAGCATGATTAAGTTTGCTACAGTACTGTTTTCAAGGCAAAAGTTTGAAACGTGTCAAATGTTCATTAATAGGGAACAATAATGAAATAAATGGTTCTGCATCATGTATTACTTGTTCTTTAAAAGGTAATTAAAACCAATTACTATGCAGCTATGAAAAGGATAACAGAGAGCTCTACATATTGATACAGAAAGTAGTTTGTGTATGGTTAAATGAAAAACAGCAGGTCATCAAATGGTATGTACCGTGATCTTATTAATACACATACAGAATTTTAAAGACTAATCAGATTAAATATATACCTTTATCTGCCCTAACACCTAAAACTGCACTAAAAAGACATTTAGGGATTTTTAAAAAGGCATAAACCCACAAGAACAGAGTGTAAGAGAGAAGACAATAGCAGATTAGAGACTTCAAAGTAATTTTGAAAGCTAAAAAAAAAAGTATGATAAAAACTTAGGTCAGAGAAAGCAGAGCCATAAACTGGTAGGGAATAAGATAAAGTAAAAAGTAGTCGTAAAGTGGGGTGGAAGAGGGGTGGATTAGAAGTTTGGGATTAGTTTGGAGTTTGCTTATCCATCCTGTATATAATAGTTTATATACAGGATGGATAAACAACAATGTCCTACTGTATAACATAGGGAACTATACTCGATATCCTGTGATAAACCATAATGGAAAAGAATATGAGAAAGAATATACATATATATATAAATTACTGAATCATCTTCCTGTATAGTAGAAATTAATACATTGTTAAAAAAAATGAAATAACAAAAACTACTGTAATGATATAAAGTAATTAGCCTCCAACTAATAAAAATTAAAAAAAAAAATGAAATAAAATAGGCATGGATATGGGGGAGGCAGGGAATACATAGGAACTCTCTGTACTTTTCTGCTCAGTTCTGCTGTGAGCCTAAAACTGCTCTAAAAAAATTTATTTAAAAGGAAAAATATAGAGGGAAAAAGTATGCCAAGTACATATACAAGAAGCTTATACATTATGAACACTTGTAGAAAGTTCATTTTTAGGGACATGGTATAGCCATGAACTAAGAATAGTTTCCTGATTTTTAAAGGATTATTTAAAAATATATCCAAAAATATGTGGTGGAGACTAGAGACTATATGTGACCTGAAAAACCTAAAATATTTACCATCTGGTCCTTTACGGAAAAAGTTTGCCAACCTCTGCTTAAGGTGGACCTTTGGGAGACATCCCTGTTGGTCCAGTGGTTAAGACTCTGTCCTTTCATGCAGGAGCTGTGTGTTTGAGTTCTGGTCAGAGAACTAAGATCCTGCATGCTGTGAGGTGTGGCCAAAAAAAATTAAATAAAAAATAAAAACAAGTTTTCAAAGGAGGACCTTTGGTTTCTATTTTATATTCTTCTATATTCTTTGAAATGTTTGTACTCTCTTGACTATGATGATACGCATTTTTTAAAAGATGAGGAAAAGAATGCTTAAAACAGATGAAACCATACTGAATCCTTCACTCATCTCAGCCTCCTCCACATCCATCCCTTGGTGGCAACACTGGTGGATTTATAAATGGATGAGGGAAACAAACTTTGAGAGGAACCAAACGGAACACTCTCCAGATGGTGCTGGGCCAATTATCCAGGAGGGCCATGGTGGGCTAAAGTTGGAGGGCCAAAGCTCAAGGGCTTACAGCAACAGCCACATAGGCCATCTTCTCCTGGGTGCCAGAATCATGGCATTTCTGCAGCTTCCTCAGGAGTCTCCAGAGAATCCAGGTCGTTTTGGGCAGCTCCACCTCCAGAGTTCTCCACAGCTCAGCCAGATGCCTAGAAATCCCAGAGGAAGAGGGTTCAGGAGAATGGCTTATCCTAGGCCAACTGTGACCACAAGCTTCCCAGAATCCATCTGGAATCCATCTATAAGAGGTTTTCCTCTCTGAGGCTCGATTCTTCAGAACTGCTATCTGATTTCACAACAGTAACTCCCAAGGTTTCATAGACTCAAGTTCCCACAACCTCAGCATGGACTTTAAGACCATTCACAAACTGGTCCTAACATATCTCTTTTTTTTTTTTTTTTTTTTAAATATTTTTTCATTTATTTGGCTGCACCAGCTCTTAGTTGCAGCATGTGGGATCTAGTTCCCTGACCAGGGATCGAACCTGGGCCCCCTGCATTGGGAGCTCAGAATCCTAACCACTGGGCCAGCAGGGAAGTCCCCTAACATATCTTTTCAATCTCACAATTCCCTATCACATACCCTGTGCTCTAACTTTCCTATGTCATTTTCATTTCTAACAGAGTCTACAGTTCTCACTTGACCTAAAGCAGTAGTTTTACAAGAACTAGAACAAACACAAAAAAATAAAATAATGCTAAAATTACATTTAAATCAACTGAATATAGCTAATACTTTATACCAAATCATATATTTTACATAAGAATATAGTGTATTAATAGGTAAGCTGAAGCAAGTAGTAAAGATTTAAAAACAATGTTCCAGAGAAATACACAAAATTAAGACCATTAAACAATCTGTATTAACTCATTTTTCTTGGATGAGTAAAAGTTCTCCTTTATTCCTTTTCCAGTAAGTGGCCTGAGGTGACCTCTAAAAATGGTGCGCTATTCACTCGACCCAGAAAACTCCATAAAATCATGCAAATGAAGAGGTTCAAATCTTCGTGTTCACTTTAAGAACACTCGTGAAACTGCCCAGGCCATAAAGGATATGCATATCTGAAAAGCCACCAAGTATCTGAAGGATGTCACTTTAAAGAATCAATATGTGCCATTCTGTCATTACAACAGCTGAGTTGGTAGGTGTGCACAGGCCAAACAGTGGGGCTGGACTCAGGGTTGGTGGCCCAAAGAGAGTGCTGAATTTTTACTGCACATGCTCAAAACACGCAGAGAGTAATGCTGAACTCAAGGGCTTAGATGTAGATTCTCTGGTCATTGAGCACATCCAGGTGAACAAAGTCCCCAAAATGCGGTGCAGGACTTATAGAGCTCACGGTTGGATCAACCCCTACATGAGCTCTCCCTGCCACATTGAGATGATCCTTATTGAAAAAGAGCAGATTGTTCCTAAACCAGAAGAGGAGGCTGCACAGAAGAAAAAGATATCCCAGAAGAAACTGAAGAAACAAAAACTTATGGCCCGGGAATAAATGCTGCAAAAAATAAGTGCAAAAAAAGTAAAAAAAAAAAAAAAAAGCTCTCTTTTATTTGATGCAGTGCGGTGAAACGTCTAAGTTCAGCTTCCCTGGCGGCTCAGACAGTAAAGCGTAGGCCTACAGTGAGGGAGACCCGGGTTTGATCCCAGGGTCAGGAAGATCCTCTGGAGAAGGAACTGGCAACAGACTCCAGCACTCTTGCCTGGAAAATCCCATGGACGGAGGAGCCTGGTAGGCTACAGTCCATGGGGTCGCAAAGGGCCGGACACAACTGAGCAACTAAACTTACTTTCAGCTTACAGAAAACATTAGCACTGCACCAAAACATTATATGAAACCCATTCATTGAAAACAGCTTTGAAACAATTTTCAAACAGTTTAAAGCTGAAGCAAGTGGTGCTGGGAAACCTGCATGTAAATCAGTGAAATTAGAACACTCCCTCATACCATACACAAAAATAAACTCAAAATGGCTTAAAGACTTAAATATAAGACATTAAACTAAAAAGAAGAAAAAAATAAAAATAAAAAAAAGACATTAAACTCCTAGACCATAAAACTCCTAGAAGAGAACATAGACAAAACAGTTTCTGACATAAATCGTAGCAATATTCTTTTAGATCAGTCTCCCAAGGCAAAAGAAATAAAAGCAAAAACACACAAATGAGACCTAATCAAACCTAAAAATTTTGCATAGCAAAGGAAACCATAAACAAAACAAAAAGACAACCTACAGACTAGGAGAATATATTTACAAACAATGCAACTGATAAGGGCTTAATTTCCAAAACGTATTATATGAACAGCTCAAATAGCTCAGGGTAGAAACAAACAATCCAATCAAAAGATGGGCAGAAGACCTAAATAGACATTTCAAAGAAGACATACAGATGGCCAACAGGCACATGAAAAGACGCTCAATATCACTAATTATTCAGTTCAGTTCAGTTCAGTCACTCAGTCGTGTCTGACTCTTTGCAACCAATCGCAGCACGCCAGTTACCAAAGGGAAAAGTGGGGGGTGAGGGATAAATTAGGAGTTTGGAATTAACAGTTACACACCACCATATATAAAACAGTTAAACAACAAGGACTGGCTGTACAGCACAAGGAACTATTAATATATTCAATATCTTGTAATAACCTACAATGGAAAAGAATCTGAAAAGAATCTAGCAAAAAATGTGAATACAAACACTGAATCACTTTGCTGTATACCTGAAACTAACATAATACTGGAAATCAATAATACTTCAATTTAGAAAAAGCTAGGAAATCTTTCTTTCAAGATAGTAATTACCCAGAATCACAGTATATAAAGCAGATAAATAGAAGGGCTGCTCTGGTTTACGTGGGATGGGGCCTGGATGCCTCATTGCCTTCCCCATAAAGCATCTCCTGGAACTTCCAGGGTGCCTTGCCTCCAACTCAAAACCACTAGTCATAAAAAAGCTTCTTCTTTGTTCCTCTCTGTGATTCTATTCTTATTTATGTATATATTTATACTTTATTTTTCATATATATTTATACTTTATTTTTAATATATATTTATACTTATATATATATTTATACTTTATTTTTTATATCTATATTTATTTTTTGGCTAAATTTTTCTTAAATGTATTGTAGATATCATGACATTCACCCCTAAATCTCCCTTAAATTATCTGTCTCTTAAGAATAAGGACATTTTCTACATATTATTATTTCACATCTAAGATTACATTAATTTAGTAATTAGCATATATATTTAAATCTCTTGAAAATTTTCTTTGACAGCTTTTGCTTTTCTTTCAGAACCCAAAGTCCTTTATTGCATTTGGTTACGTCACCTTAGTGTCTTCTTATCTAGAACAGTGCCTTCCGCACAATTATTTTCTTTCAAGATAATTTTTTTGAAGAGTTCAGTCCAATTATCTTGTAAAGTGTTCTTCATTCTGGATGGTTTGCTTATTTTAGGCATTATGTTCTGATTTACCCTGCAGACATCTGTCTATATAATATCTCAACAAGAACATCCTTAGATTTTCGAGGGCAGCCCTGCTCCACAGTACTCAGAGGTATAGCACATGCCCCTACTTAATCCAGAGGCTGTACCAGATTCCATTACCTGTCATATGGCACTGGGTGACACAGAAGGTGGTCGATCACTGTATCCGTGTACTTGGGCCTGGACAGAAACAAACTCACAATATTTCTGATTTGTTGGCGAACCTTAGGTTGGCTGATTGTGGAGAGCAGGGCACAGATAACTCCCATAATTTCTGGCACCTGAAGAATGAAAAGAAATCGCTTAAGACCTTACTGCTGTGGGACATTGATAGTTACAGTGGATACTGTGGTTATTTTGAAGAGGTCCTGGGGGCGACTTTTAATACAGAATGTTTATTATTTTTCAAAAAGTTTATTATTATCAAAACTACTTAAAGTACACCTGTATAAATGTATATGCACATAAAGGGATTTGGAAAAACATATATCCAAACATATTAATGTGTCTTTGAGTGATGGGATATTTACATTTTTGCTTAAATATTTTTTCTAATTTTTTCTTAAAGATTATGTATTGGTTTTATAATAAGACAAACTAATAAAAGTTGGAAGGAGGCTGGTTTTTCCCCACTCTGGCTCTGAGAATGGCAGGGAGTCATAGTTGCCTTCCTCCTGCAGAAGTTTATCATGTTCAGGTAAAGCAAACAAGAGCCACTGGGCTTGATCCATTTCTCTGCTTGGACTGCTCTTCCTGCTCCTAGACTTTTGGTTCAAGATCTCTGTCAGAATGTCAGCTTTTCAAAAAGCAGTCCTTAGCAGTCTTATATGAAATAGCCGTTCTTACCACCAGCTGCCAGAAACGGATTGAGGTTGGGCATGTGATGGCATTCTGGCCAATGAACATGGAGGAAAACCAGCTGGGGGCTTCTAGGGAAGATTTTTCTCTCTGATTAAAGGAAGGCAACCTCTCTCTTCTTTGCTGGGTAGCCTTACCTACTCAGAGAGTTGGAAACTGTGGTGGCTGTCTTACTTATGAGTATATGAACAGGTTAACTGGGAATGATGGAAAAACCCCTGGCTCTCTCATAAAGTTGTTGAGTTGCTGGACCAATCCTAAAAAATATACCCTACTTCCAGACTTCTTAATATATGAGGTGATAAACCCTCTGTATAAGTTTCTCACAATTTTTTTTTTTTTACAGATAAAAGCACCCAAAAGATACAAATGCCCATTTCACCTTCTTTCAATATCGTACTGATCTTTTTGTATCTTTGCTATTTTAATAGATTAAAAAATGGGTTTTCATCATTTTAAAATTATTTTTATTTTTATCAAAGTGCAACATGCACATAATTTTAAAAGTCCAGTGGTATTCAAGGCTCTCTCTGGCCTATTCCCCAGGTCCACACTCCAAAGACAACTACTTTCATCCATTTTATCTCTTCCAGTATGTCCTTCCATATTTATAGATGATATAACCATATTGTTATTTCTTCATGTATCAATTTAATTAAAATAAATTCTCTTTATTTTAAATTTACTAAGTTAGCCTCCCTCTAGGATCACTGATGGCTTGATTTGTAAAATTTGGTACCTTTAACTAACCCAAATGAGGATCTAAACTGGAGTTACCATTCTCATCTACGTTAATTATATTTTCCAAAAAAAACTACAATCTTTTGGAAAATAGGGGCCATACCTCAGATTGAAAAAACAAACAAACCTGCCATCCCTAGTGGCATACACAAAGGTTGTATATGCTTGTTGAATGCATGATTTTTCAGCATTAACTAAATAGACTTAAGGCTTTGACCACGGTCCCTTCAGCGGTTGTTCTCAGTTGTATTCTGCTGAATACGAACAGCAGGAGAGACCTTAGCATCTGTAGGTAGGGACAGGTCTCTGCCTGCATTTTAAACTCAGGAAACGTCCACTGAGCTGTTTACCTTCTCAAACCGGGACTGTGCAGTCTTCACCAATGCTATCAGCAATTCCCCCGCTGACAGCTGCGTGTGTGGATGTTTCAGGTTTTTCAGGCCATCCAGTGTAGCCATTACAAACTGGTAGAGCTCATTGGAATTGAGAAAAACTTCGAAGACCTGAGATGATTTAGGGAAAATGAACTTTCAAGATGAATGGTTTAACAGGAAGAGTCCTGAACAAGGAACAATTCTAAGTCAGCAATCAGAGAAGCATACAAAGATTGTTCAGGGCTCTTTAGTTCTATACTGTTTACAGAAGTGAAAAACTGGAAGCAACCCAGTGTCCCAAGGGAATGTGCCTGGTTTGTTACAACTCCGACTTTTAGAAAGAAGCTTGTATTGACTTCCTTGACAGTCGGGTGGTTAGGACTCTGTGCTTCCACTGCAGGGAGCACGTGTTTGAGTCCCGGTTGAGGAACCAAGATCCTGCAAGCTGTGGATCATGGCCAAAGATAAAAATGCTTGATTACTGAGATCCTCAGAAAGAGTGACACATGATACTTCTATAGGAATAGGAATTAAGGAAAGGCCCTAATGCTCTATGGCTGACAGGGACCCAAGCCTAGCTAAAATAATTTGGAGATGCTTTATTAAAATAATGTGTCATTCTGCTTCTCATTGTACTTTCAGTACAGTTCAGTCGCTCAGTTGTGTCCAAATCTTTGCGATCCCACGGACTGTAGCACACCAGGCTTCCCTGCTCATCACCAACTCCTGGAGCTTACTCACTCAAACTCAGGTCCATCGAGTCAGTGATACCATCCAACCATCTCATCCTCTGTTATCCCCTTCTCCTCCTGCCTTCAATCTTTCCCAGCATCAGGGTCTTTTCCAGTGAGTCAGTTCTTCACATCAGGTGGCCAAAGTATTGGAGTTTCAGCTTCAACATCAGTCCTTCCAATGAATACTCAGGACTGACTTCCTTTAGGATGGACTGGTTGGATCTCCTTTCAGTCCAAGGGATTCTCAAGAGTCTTCTCCAACACCACAGTTCAAAAGCATCACTTCTTCAGCACTCAGCTTTCTTTATAGTCCAACTCTCACATCCATACGTAACTACTGGAAAAACCAAGGCTTTGACTAGACGAACCTTTGTTGGCAAAGAAATGTGTCTGCTTTTAAATACACTGTCTAGATTGGTCATAACTTTCCTTCCAAGGAGCAAGCGTCTTTTAATTTCATGGCTGCAGTCACCACCTGCAGCGATTTTGGAGCCCCCCAAAATAAAATGTCACTATTTCCATTGTTTCCCCATCTATTTGTCATGAAGTGACTGGGCCGGATGCAGTGATCTTAGTTTTCTGAATGTTGAGTTTTAAGCCAACTTTTTCACTCTCCTCTTTCATCTTCATCAAGAGGCTCTTTAGTTCTTCTTCACTTTCTGCCATAAGGGTGGTGTCATCTGCACATCTGAGCTTATTGATATTTCTGCCGGCAATCTTAATTCTAGCTTGTGTCTCATCCAGCCAAGCATTTCACATGATGTACTCTGCATATAAGTCAAATAAGCAGGGTGACAATATATAGCCTTGACATACTCCTTTCCTGATTTGTAACCAGTCTGTTGTTCATGTCCAGTTCTAACTGTTGCTTCTTGACCTGCATACAGATTTCTCAGGAGGCAGGTCAGGTGGTCTGGTATTCCCATCTCTTTAAGAATTTTCCACAGTTTGTACATGACAGTGAATAAAGTCCTCCACATAATTGTAATAGGTATAATCTACTAGGCATTTCCCAAGTGATTGGCACTAAGCAAAGCATTTTCTATACTATATCTCATTTGACTCTCGTAACAATTGAGTTATCCTAATTTTTACAGATCCTCATAAACAGATGAGGAAACTGATGTAAAGATTATTTACCTGATACCTTAGACCATATATGAGTAAGATCTGTAGACTTTTTTTCTGTATCAACTATTGTTGCTCAGTCTCTCAGTTGTGTCCAACTCTTCTGTGACTCCATGGTCTGTAGCCCGCCAGGCTCCTCTGTCCATGGGATTTCCCAGGCAAGAATACTGGAGTGGGTTGCCATTTCCTCTGCAGGGGATCTTCCCAACCCAGGTCTCCTGCATTGGCAGGCAGGCTCTTTACCACTGAGCCACCAGGGAAGACCCTGATACCGAGAAGATGTTTGGTATTTGTGGAGTATTGGATAATTACATTAACAAAGAAGTGTATGGTTTTTTAGTAGTTGTATATGGATCAGTTACACCCATTTTTTTTTAATTAGAGCTTTCTTGTAAGTCTTTTTTGAACTTGCTACAATATTGCTTGTGTCTTTTGGCCACAAAGCATGTGGGATTTTACCTCCCCAACCAGGGATCAAATCTGCACTCCTTGCATTGGAAGATGGTCTTAACCCTTGGATCACCAGGGAAGTTCCTCAAATTCACCCTCTTGAGGTTCCTTTTTGTGACAAGGATTTACATTTGCATGGGGTTGGGTGGGGTTAGGAGAGCAATTGGGTACAGAGCTGGTCTGAAAAAATGTCCAAACAGTGATACTGGCCTCACTGACGGTCTGACAGAAATCCCTTAAACTCACAGGGCAAAATGAGTGACAGTCATGGCCATTACCTCATCTCCAAACTATGAAATGTTCAGAAAGCAAATTCTCTGGGCAATCTTGTATGTTTAGTTTTACAAGAAATGAACGGACCTTTTCCCAAAGTGGTTTTATCATTTCACATTCTCATGAATAAATGTATGAGACTTCTGTTGTTTCCCATCCTCTCCAATATTTCAAGCTATCTGTCTTTAAAATTTTAGCTGTTCTAATTACCTGGGCAATTCTGAAGGGACAACTATAGAACTGCTTAATATTGTAGAGTTCTAGGAGTTCTCGACATTTTTTCATTGCTCTTTTCAGGCTTTGGCGATTTTTCTTGTCGTAAGTGATACCTGAGAAAATAATATAACATATTAATACTTTGACTTATTTCCTTTTTCTTGATTTTGCAAGTCTGGTTGATCTTCAGGTTGAAGTGGCTCCCCAGTCTTATTCTCGTCTTTTTCACTTGAGTAAAAATGCTCATTTTTACTTTTTACTCCCCGCCCCCCAAAATGGGGGAAGGAGTGTGTGTTAATCTGATTTGCTTCTCTTCTGTGGAAGAGCAATATATAAAAAGAGCTGAAAGAAAAGAGAAGAGCTCTTTGTAAGAGCTTTTGAGTGATTTGGAAATACAAATGAGGCAAATTAAACCATTTATTTCCCCATTGGTGAGGCCTTTCGAGGGGTCTTCCGCTGAAGCTTGTAAAGTGAAAGTGAAGTCGCTCAGTCGTGTCCGACTCTTTGCAACCCCATGGACTGTAGCCTACCAAGTTCCTACATCCATGGGATTTTCCAGGCAAGAATACTGGAGTGGGTTGCCATTTCCTTCTCCAGGAGATCTTCCCGACCCAGGGATTGAACCTGGGTCTCCCATATCGTAGGCAGACGCTTTACCATCTGAGCCACCAGGTAAGTCCTTAGGTCCCCACAAGAATTTACAGTTTTGTACTGAGTTTGATAATTCTGTAATCAGAATTATGTGTCTAGTTTTGCTGATACTGAGTCTGCCAAAATGCCCTAACAGTGTTTTGTTTTCCTCCTGTTTTATCTCATCTTCACTGGAAATTTATCTCTAGGAAGTATCTGAGCCCATAGTTGATCTACAGGAAGTATCTGAGCCCATAGTTGATCTACAGGAAGTATCTGAGCCCATAGTTGATCTATGGGAAGTATTTGAGCCCACGGTTGAGGATACTGTTTCTCCAACTATAAGCTCTTTGTGAGATGGGACCTTGCCTGTTTTACTCACCAACGCATCCCTCGAACAAGAAGTGCTTCATAAATATTTGCTGAACGAAACACCAGCTGTGTTCCCGTGGCTATATGTCTCAGCAGACAAAGCTCATGCTCAGAGCTGCCCAGAAATGAGACTGCTGCTTTGGGAAGCAGAGCACTATGTTGTCCTTGGTATAAGCAAGCCCAGGCAGGGCAACTGCTTGCTAGGGATAGAACAGTCTCAGACTCAACACTGGGGGAAGTCTGGGCTGGGTATCTTCTGAAATTTCTTCCAACTGTGGGGATCGGTGATTCACTCCTTGACCACCATGGCCCTCTGTTATTCAAACTCCTCAAGCTCATACCTGCTGAGTGTCCTTGCTCATGCTGTTCCTTCTGCCTTATACACTCTTCTTATCACTTCACCTGACTAAATGCTATTTTTTAGGTTATCTTCAGAGAGGCCATTTCTGAACCCCACGAGTAGATTTAATCCTTACTCATGGCCTCTGTAATTTTCCTTCAGAGCAGTCAAATGTTTATAACAGTTGTTTGCTGACTCTCTGATTCTCTGATGCCCCCACTAGATCGTGTGTTACATCTAAGGATTGTGTGTGTGCTTAGTTGTATCCGACTCTTTGCAACCCCACAGACTATAGCCCACCAGGCTCCTCTGTCCATGGCATTTTCTAGGCAAAAATACTGGAGTGGGTTGCCATTTCCTTCACCAAGGGATCTTCCCAACCCAGAGATCGAACCCATGTCTCTTGCGTCTCCTACATTAGCGGGCAGATTCTTTACCACTGTGCCACCTGTGAAGCCCACATAAAGACTGGACCACTTATTTTCTGCTTACTGTTAGATCTGAGTAAGGACTCAGTAAATGTTCCTGGGATAAACACATAAAGGCAAACCCAAAGGATGGCAAGAACTTCTTCTATTTCCAACTGAACTAATTACCCCAGCTTGTCCACAGGGCCACACGTTTTCTACTCCAACTCCATGGTCATGCACATGGCTGACGCTGATGGGTCTCATCCAGTGTTACCCTTCTCATTATTAAGTCAGTGTGGCTCTATCTTTGCCTAGGGACGGGGTACCCTTCTCTCTATGAACCAGGGTAAAAGTCTTTCTAGAATGTGGGCAGTGAGTGCACAAGGAGGCCTGGTGCTTTTTGTGCTATGCTGGAGAATTGACTCAGGGCCTCACTGCCTCTGGCAGCGCCTTACACTTCAGCTTCAGGGTGATGTGCAGCAGGTAGTGCATCCCCTCCGCAGCCTCCTCGGCCACCTCTTTCAGTGGGTCCCCGCACAGCAGAGCCATCAGAGCCACCACCTGTCCAAGTCTTTGGAATCGCACTGGAAGCTAATTAGGAAGCAAAAGAAAAATACCATTAGACTGCACGTGCATTTGGAGCCTCAGATTTCAACTGTAGAAGTAATTCTCCTGGAACCTTCTGCTCAAGAGAAGGGCCACTGTTATATCCAGCCCTTGGATCTTCTGAGTTAACATTTAACATGTGTAGATACAATGTATCCAGCAGATGCTATTATGCAGGACAAATTCTAATTTAAAATAAGCAACTTGAAAAATGCTTTGTGTATAAAGATGTTCATTCTAGCACTGTTTTTATTAATTTTTTTCTTCTTAAATATTTATTTTTGGCTGCACTGGGTCTTAGTTGCATGTGGGATCTTTTGTTGTGGTGTACAGGCCTCTCTCTAGTTGTGGCTCTCCGGGTCACTAGTTGCAGCTTATGGGCTTCGTTGCCCTGGGCCATGTGGTACCACAGTTCCCCAACTGGGAATAGAATCAGTGTCCCTGCACTGGAAGGTGAGCTCAATCACTGGACCACCAGAAAAGTCCCTCTAGCATGGTTTTTAAAGACCACATATTCAAACTAATTGCCAATAGCAATAAGAACTATACTGTTCATGGGGTTCTCAAGACAAGAATGCAGAAGTGGTTTGCCATTCCCTTCTCCAGTGGACCACGTTTTGTCAGAGGGAACGCACTGGTCATAGCAAATATCCTCTTTCAACAACACAAGGGACGACTCCACACATGGACATCACCAGATGGTAAACACTGAAATCAGACTGATTATATTCTTTGCAGCCAAAGATGGAGAAGCTCTATATGGTCAGTAAAAGCAAGACCAGGAGCTGACTGTGTCCCAGATCAGGAACTCCTTATTGCTAAATTCAGACTTAAATTGAAGAAAGTAGGGAAAATGACTAGGCCATTCAGGTATGACCTAAATAAAATGCCTTACAATTATACAGTGGAAGTGACAAATAGATTCAAGGGATTAGATCTGATAGACAGAGTGCATGAAGAAATATGGATGGAGATTTATAACATTGCACAGGAGGCGGTGATCAAAACCACCCCCAAGAAAAAGAAAAGCAAAAAGGCAAAATGGTTGTCTGAGGAGGCCTTACAAATAGCTGTGAAAAGGCAAAGGAAAAAAGGAAAGATATACTCATCTGAATGCAGAGTTCCAAAGAATAGCAAGGAGAGATAAGAAAGCCTTCCTCAGTGATCAATGCAAAGAAATAGAGGAAAACAATAGAATGGGAAAGATTAGAGATCTCTTCAAGAAAATTAGAGATACCAAGGGAACATTTCATGCAAAGATGGGCACAATAAAGGACAGAAATGGTATGGACCTAACAGAAGCAGAAGATATTAAGAAGAGGTGGCAAGAATATACCCAAGAACTATACAAAAAAGATCCTCACGAACCAGATAATCAGGATGGTGTGCTCACTCACCAAGAGCCAGACATCCTGGAATGCGAAGTCAGTGGGCCTTAGGAAGCATCACTACGAACAAAGCTAGTAGAGATGAAGGAATTCCAGTTGAGCTATTTCAAAACCTACAAGATGATGCTGTGAAAGTGCTACACTCAATATGCCAGCAAATTTGGAAACTTGGCAGTGGCCACAGGACTGGAAAAGGTCAGTTTTCATTCCAATCCCAAGGAAAGGCAATGCCAAAAATGCTCAAACTATCATACAGTTGCACTCATCTCACATGCTAGCAAAGAGTATTGTTCAACATTATCCAAGCCAGGCTTCAACAGTATGTGAACTAAGAAATTCCAGATGTTCAAGCTGGATTTAGAAAAGGCAGAGGAACCAGAGATCAAATTGCCAACATCTGCTGGATCATCGAAAAAGCAAGAGAGTGCCAGAAAAACATCTACTTCTGCCTTATTGACTATGCCAAAGCCTTTAACTGTGTGGACCACAACAAACTGGAAAATTCTTCAAGAGATGGGAACACCAGACCACCTGACCTGCCTCTTGAGAAATCTGTACGCAGGTCAGGAAGCAACAGTTAGAACTGGACATGGAACAACAGACTGGTTCTAAATAGGGAAAGGAGGACACCAAGGCTGTATATTGTCACTCTGCTTATTTAACTTATATGCAGAATACAGCATGTGAAATGCCTGGTTGGATGAAGCACAAGCTAGAATCAAGATTGCCAGGAGAAATATCAATAACCTCAGATGTGCAGATGACACCACCCTTATGGCAGAAAGCAAAGAGGAACTAAAGAGCCTCTTGATGAAAGTGAAAGAAAAGAGTGAAAAGCTGGCTTGAAATTAACATTCAAAAAATGCAAATCATGGTATCTGGTACCATCACTTCATGACAAATAGATGGGGAAACAATGGAAACAGTGATAGGCTTTACTTTCCTCGACTCCAAAGTCACTGCAGATGGTGACTGTAGCCGTGAAATTAAAAGATGCTTGCTCCTTGAAAGAAAAGTTATGACCAACCTAGACAGCATATTAAAAAGCAGAGACATTACTTTGCCAACAAAGGTCTGTCTAGTCAAAGCTATGGTTTTTTCCAGTAGTCATGTATGGATGTAAGAGTTAGACCATAAAGAAGGCTGAGCACTGAAAGATTGATGCTTTTGCACTGTGGTGTTGAAGAAGACTCTTGAGAGTCCCCTGGACAGCAAGGAGATCAGACCAGTCAATACCAAAGGAAATCAGTCCTAAATATTCATTGGAAGGACTGATGGTGAAGCTGAAACTCCAATACTTTGGCTACCTGATGTGAAGAGCTGACTTATTACAAAAGACTCTGATGCTAGGAAAGACTTAAGGCAGAAGAAGAAGGGGATGACAGAGGACAAGATGGTTGGATGGCATCACCTACTCATTAGACATGAGTTTGATCAAGCTCTGGGAGAGGGGGAAGGACAGGGAAGACTGGCATGCTATAGTTCATGGGGTCACAAAGAGACAGACACAACAGAGTAACTGAACAACAATGAGAACTATGAATACAACCATTAGGAAACAAGTATCCCAAGAATTTATAATAAGTTGGGAATGAATTAGCCTTGGTGGTTCAAATGGTAAAGACTCTTCCTGCAATGAAAATTCAGTGAAGATTCAATCCCTGGGTTCAATCCCTAGGGCAGGCAGATCCTCTGGAGAAGGAAATGGCACCCCTCTCCAGTACTCTTGCTTGGAGAAGTCCACGGACAGAGAAGCATGGCAGTCTGCACTACATGGGATCACAGTCAGACACAACTGAGTGACTAACTTTCACTTTTCCCTTTTTTCATGAATATGTGCTAGTTTGCTAAGTGATAAAGTCAGATACAAAGGAGATATACCAACTGACAACATTTTAAAATTTTATTTATAGATATTTTACCATATTATGGAAAAAAAAAGTCAAGTAGCTGGTCAAAACCTACCAGAAAAAGAAATACAATTTAAAATCAACAGTGAATCCAGTGGGACCAATAAAAAAAAAATGAAGGCAGAAAAGATAAATGAAGTTAAGGATTTTGTTAGTATGCAGAATGCATGATCATCTTTTGCTCAAACTAGGCCACAGAGCTAGGCTTCAAACTTTCTCAGGGTTCATGCAGAGGAATGCACCTAATATGATTCACACTGTCCATGAAGTGAGAAGCAAATAGCCATATGAGGCAGCGCAACTGTTTCTAAGATTGAGGCAGAAAGAAACTTCCACTGTGGCTTTTCAGAAAAATATACTGAGATAGTGGAAACAACAGCTTCTACAACCTATGAACACGTTTAACAGAGAAACACATATGCAAACTGTGTAAGATCTTTCATTCTCTGATAATATGTTCATTCATTCAATCAACAAACACTGAGTATCCATTATGTGCCAGGTACTGGTTATGACTATAGCACTTATGGATAAGGCACTTGGACTGGCAATGGGGACACAAACAGTGAACCTTCCTCAGAAAAATCCAGAAGACTGCACCACACAAAATTCTGCATAGAACTTTCTGGATGTTCACAGACCCCTTGGGCACCTAAGTTAAGCACCCTTACATTGGCAGTTCTTGCCAGGAAGAAAATGCTGAGGAGGTTCTGCTGAGCCTAGAGGGAGATTATGTATAGGAAGAAGTCATTTGAAACTCTTGTCTTTAGTCTGCAGCCAAAATTAGAGTTTGAGGAAGAAACATGCATTGTGGTCAACAGTAGGGTAGCCAGTGAGCACAGAATAATAAGGTAGTCAGTGATGGCTAGAAGTCATGTGCTCTCATTGACTAAACAGAGGACAAGGGAAGTAGCATTGTTTGAGGGGCTGAGCTTCAGTAGGGAGGTGGCAAGTTTGGATGTGTTTTCAAAGGGAGAAATAAGAAAGGTAGTGGCATGCTGTCCTTTTGACTGTTTGAATATTCACATCAGTGGTAAATTCTCTGAGGAATTCTCATAAAGACCTACTATTCCTACTCTCCCCCAATTTCTCTTCCAATTCCTGGGCCTTACTATGTAGTTTGGAGAAATGGTGGATGGAGAACATAAGAGACTCCAGTGTGGAGAAGATCTACTGAGGAAAGAAGAAAGAGATTTTGTAGATGACAAAGGAACAGATCAGGAAAGAGGATCTGAGTTTGGGGAATTATTTTTAGGAATTATGGGAGAGAATTCAGAACAGCTGGAAAGTGAGAGTGCAAAAGGGAGATGAGAGGATTTAAAAGAGGTATTGTAGAACCATTTTCTCCGAGATACTGGGAGATATTTAAATTGACTTACACACTTATACTTGCCTGCTACACTTTACTGCTTCAAACTCTTGTGCATCCCTTTGGGGATGCAAGATTACTAAACACAGTACCTGCCCTCAAGCTGCTCACTTAGGGGAGAGGAGCAGATAAGTGAATAAATGCCAAATGTTATTACATGAGCACCAAGAAGTCACCAGTCTGGGGAGCCATAAACAGGAGGGGAACTGGGCAGGTAAAAGGATAGCTCTGGATCCTTCATCTTCAACTGGAGGTCAACTTACTTGCAGGCTGAGATGTTTGAATAAACACTTCAGAACTTGAGTCATGCTGGTTGTGGCCCGTTCCCGTTCATGGTCTTTGTCTGACTGTAACCAGGGGTGCATGTGCTGTGAAAAACAAATGGTTAAGCAGCTTGATCTAGGAAAATAATCCAAAAGTCACGAGCTCATATTTTACCAACATTGTTTAATTTCTGTAATAGGTACTCAAAGACTTTCTGATAGAACTGGCTTTCTATTATAATCCTAGAAAATCTTTGCACTTAAGATATTTATACATAACAGGAGGCATTCAGTTTGCTTTTACAGAGTACAAATGGAAAACTTGAAACTAACTTTTTACATTTAAAAAAATGGTTTATCAGGAAGATCTGTGATAACACCATGTTCTTTTGGAAGAAGTGTGGAGGGAAAAGTCCCACATGTAACTCTGTGCATGCATACTCAGTCGCTAAGTCACGTCCAATTCTGTGCGAATCCATGGCTGTGACCCGCCAGACTCCTCTGGTCATGGAATTTTCCAGACAAGAATACTGGAGTGGATTGCCATTTCCTGCTCTATGAGATCATCCCAATCCACGGACTGAACTTGCATCTCCTGTCTCTCTTGCACTGGCCTACCACTGTGCCTTCTGGGAAGCCTGCCACATGTCACTACCACATCTGAAAACATTTTCCTAAATGACAAACCAGTTCTTGTGCAAATGATAGTAGTGGGATGACAAACAACCACAAAGATCTAGGAGTCACATGGTCCAGCTTCTATTGGTGCTTATATTCTACACTTTATTTTCTCTTCATCCAACTTTCTTCAATTATTTTTATTCCCTACTTCTGTATGTTTTTAGCCTTATGAAGTCTATTTAGGAAAGAGAGAAAATCAATGATGTGCTATTAAGGAGCTTTGAGGATGGGAAATTGCATCTGCCTGAATCACCGACCTAGAGCCAGACATCCTGGAATGTGAAGTCAAGTGGGCCTTAGGAAGCATCACTATGAACAAAGCTAGTGGAGGTGAAGGAATTCCAGTTGAGCTATTTCAAATCCTAAAAGATGATGCTGTGAAAGTGCTGCACTGAATATGCCAACAAATGTGGAAAACTTAGCAGTGGCCACAGGACTAGAAAAGGTCAGTTTTCATTCTAATCCCAAGGAAAGGCAATGCCAGAGAATGCTCAAACTACCATACAGTTGCACTCAACTCACATGCTAGCAAAGAGTAATGTTCAACATTCTCCAAGCCAGGCTTCAACAGTACATGAACTGTGAAATTCCAGATGTTCTGGAATTTTAGAAAATCTAGATGTTTCTGGATTTAGAAAAGGCAGAGGAACCAGAGATCAAATTGCCAACATCTGCTGGATCATCAAAAAAGCAACAGAGTGCCAGGAAAACATCTACTTCTGCTTTATTGACTATGCCAAAGTCTTTGACTGTGTGGACCACAACAAACTGGAAAATTCTTCAAGAGATGGGAATACCAGACCACCTGACCTGCCTCTTGAGAAATCTGTATGCAGGTCAGGAAGCAACAGTTAGAACTGGACATGGAACAACAGACCGGTTCTAAATAGGGAAAGGAGTACATCAAAGCTGTATATTGTCACTCTGCTTATTTAACTTATTTGTAGAGTATATCATGAGAAACTCTGGGTTGGATGAAGCACAAGCTGGAATCAAGATTGCCAGGAAAAATATCAATAACCTCATATATGCAGATGACACTACCTTTTGGCAGAAAGTGAAGAAGAACTAAAGAGCCTCTTGATGAAAGTGAAAGAAGAGAGTGAAAAAGCTGGCTTAAAACTCATTCAGAAAACTAAGATCATGGCATCTGGTCACATCACTTCATAGCAAATAGATAGGGAAACAGTGACAGACCTTATTTTTTGAGCTCCAAAATCACTGCAGATGGTGACTACAGCCATGAAATTAAAAGATGCTTGCTCCTTGGAAGGAAAGTTATGACCAACCTAGACAGCATATTAAAAAGCAGAGACAGTATTTTGGCAATAAAGATCTGTCTAGTCAAAGCTGTGGTTTTTCCAGTGGTCACGTATGAATGTGAGAGTTGGACTATAAAGAAGGCTGAGCACTGAAGAACTGATGCTTTTGAACTGTGGTGTTGGAGAAGATTCTGGAGAGTCCCTTGGACTTCAAGGAGAGCTAACCAATCCATCCTAAAGGAGATCAGTCCTGAGCGTTCATTGGAAGTACTGATGCTAAAGGTGAAACTCCAATACTTTGGCCACCTGACTCGAAGAACTGACTCATTTGAAAAGACCCTGATGCTGGGAAAGATTGAAGGCAGGAGGAGAAGGGTATGACAGAGGATGAGATGGTTGGATGGCATCACGGACTCAATGGACTTGAGTTTGAGGAAGCTCCAGGAATTGGCGATAGACAGGGAGGCCTGGCGTGCTGCAGTCCATGGGGTCACAAAGAGTCGGACACAATTGAGCAACTGAACTGAACTGAGAATGAGAAATTGTATCTGCCTGAAACAGTCAGGGAAGGATTCATGGAGGAGGAGCTTCACAAAAAGTGTGGCATTTCAGGTAGAAGAAATGGCTTGAATTAAGTTAGGAAGGCAGGAAGGTTTAAGGCAAACCAGATAAATGAGAGAAACCCAATGTGGCTGGAGTGTTGATGTATAAATAGAAGAGGGATGAGAAATAATGTCTGGCTTCCCCGGTGGCTCAGTGCTAAAGAACCCGCCTGCCAATGCTGGAGATGTAAGAGACTGGGTCGAGCCCTGGGTTGGGAAGATCCCCTGGAGGAGGCGATGGCAACTCACTCCAGTATTCTTGCTGGAAAAATCCCATGGACAGAGAAGCCTGGCAGGCTACGGTCCATAGAGTCACAAAGAGTTGGACGCGACTGAGCACAAGCATGAAAAATAATGTTAAGGTCTGCTGTGGCAAAGATTAGTATCCATCTGTATAAAGGTGCAAGTGATTAATAATAGTTTAAAGGATTATCCCTTTCTAGAATAGTTGCATCTAAAAAAGGAGAAAGAGAGTAAGATGCTTGAACTGCAGTGAATGCACTCCAATGAGTAACACCCTATTGGTGGAATGGCACTGGAACGGGTACAGGTGATGGCAGGTGGCCATGAACAACCTTGCCTGGCAGGCAGCTGCCTATTTACTCCTTCACGAGGCTGACCCTGTTCTCTTGATCACTGATTGAAGCCCTTCTATAGTAACGAGCAAAAATAATTTAAGGAATAATTATAGCAAGCATTTAAACCATTTTTGAAGGGCATTTATTCAATACTCATGGTAATTATTATCTCCATGTAAAGGTGAGAAGACAGACTTCCTTGTGGTCCAGTGGTTAAAAACCCGCCTGCCAACACAGGGGACACAGGTTTGATCTATGGTCCCGGAAGAACTGACACGCCTTGAGGCAGCTAGGCCCGTGTGCCACTATTGAGTCCATGCGCCTCGATCCTGTGCTTTGCAACAAGAGAGGCCACCTCAATGAGCAGCCCGTGCACCGCAGAGTAGGCCCACTCACCACAACTGCAAAAAGCCTGTGCTTTTGAAGAACAAAGACCCACTGCAGCCATAAATAAATAGATAAGTATTTTTTTAATTTAATTTTATTTTTTCATTTATTTTTATTAGTTGGAGGCTAATTACTTTATAATATTGTAGTGGTTTTTGCCATACATTGACATGAATCAGCCATGGATTTACATGTGTTCCCCATCCCGATCCCCCCTCCCGTCTCCCTCCCTAGATAAGTATTTTTAAAAGGTGAAGACTGCAAGATCAAATTCCTTGCTGAATGTATTTAACCAATGAATGGCAGAGAGTCAGAATTTGAACCCAAGTCTGACTCAACACGAAGAGCTGATACTCACCTATTATAAAAAGTGAAAGTGAAAGTGTTAGTCCCTTAGTCGCGTCTGACTCTTTGCGACCCCATGGACTGTAGCCCACCAGGCTCTTCTGTCCATGGAATTTTCCAGGTAAGAATACTGGAGTGGGTTGCCATTTTCTACTCCAGGGGATCTTCCTGACCCAGAGATCAAACCTGTGTCTCTTGAATTGCAGGCAGATTCTTTACCATCTGAGCCACCAGGGAAGCCCATACTTGCCTATTATGTTGCCTCTTAAAACTTAAGCCTTCCATATTTTTTTCTTCCACTTTCACCAGTTAATAGGAATAGTTACCCATTCTCTCCTGATATCCTGTTTACCTTAAAAATTATGTCAAGATTTTCCAAATGTCGGTCTTTTATCACCAAACTCTGGAGCATCTCAACAAACGCCTGAAATGTCTGCCTGTAGAGACACTGCAAAGGCACAGGGTTAGTGAGGACCCCGCGGGAAGTTCTCCCACACTGTACACTTCGAGGCTCTCCTGGTTATCTCAGACCTTACTCAAAGGTGAAGGACCTTTGGGTAAAGCACTAGCAGGCAGTATGTGACTTGAGGTGAAACAATAAATCTTCATTTCAAATGGATATCTCAGCCTTACCGGGAACCCAGGTAACTGATTCTCACTACATGTGAGAGTTACTTATGGGTTATCAACATACTTTTAAAGCTTGACTTGTGAATCTTTCCGATACCTTGAAACCCAGGAGAACAAAGTCCCCTTTGGCAACTGCTTCACCTTCCAGTTCACCAGCTGCAGAAGGAAATACAGCCTTGGCCCTGCCCTTCTTCTTATCTCTGCTTGAAAGCTTTTCTTCCAGAGATGTTCACACACCCTCTCTGCAACTGTCACCTCATCAGGAAGCCTCTCTCTGGCCACCTGATGCATAGGGCTGGCCAACAAGTTCATTTAGCTTTCCCATAAGATGTTATTGAAAAACTAGGCATATGAATGTTCCCGTCTTATTGTAAAGCCAAAAGCAGGAAAAGAAGGAATGAAGGGAAGAAGACAAAATAAAGTGGGATTAAAAAAAAAAACTATTTAAGAACCTATTTTATTCATCTCCTGCACTGGCAAGCAGATTCTTTGCCAACTGTGCCACCTATTTTATTCACCAGACTTCGCTTAAATGGTTTTTGGTGAGTTCCAGAAAATCGAATGTACTTTCAAAAAGCCAAGATCAGCTGACCCTGTGGCTGGCGAGTTACTCTGGCAAGGTGTGAGTTACCTGTGAATTGTAGGATCCGCCTGGCATGATTTCCTGCGGATGGGTGAGGATCTTGATAGAGGGCAGAGCGATTACACTTTTGGTGACAAGACTGAACAGGTCAGCTCGATCTTCAGAACCAAACAGCAAGTAGACATCTTGGTAACTAAGAAAAGACAGTTTGTGAATAGCTAGCTGGGAAGAATCTGATTTGATGTTGATAAGCAGGAATCCAAGTGACCCCAAAGGGAAGGAGAGACTGTTTGGTATATCATTCTAATGGAGGAGACCAATGGCACGCTTGTCAGTCTGTCTGGACAAACCTCGCAAAGGTTAAGAGGAGGAGTTTCAGGCTCAGAGCTTCCAATCTGGTCCCTTCCTTCCCCCCGAATCCACAAGAGTGACTCCTCAGGTTTTTCTCCAGTTCAACCACAGAAGGAAGCCAGCTAGAGTCTGATACAGCAAACCACAATTTTCCAAAGTGTATTGTGCTGAATGCTTGCTATTTTTTGGGTTTGAGTTTGGGGACTGCTGAGAGGACCCAAGTTTAAAAACCTTTTAACTACAGGACTTCTTGGGACCTTTAATCAGTTAACGTGCCTTACTAAACTCTAAGAGAGGTAAATAGCAGACAGCCCTTCCCAATTTCTTAGGCCATGGACTTCTGCTGTCATGAAGCATATACAGGAATACCTTTACACTGAATATACTCCGGACACAACTGAGCTCCACAGAGGTTCTAGTAGGTCTTTGAGATACAGATGAAAGCCAACTTCTTACACAGAAACATGGATCTGACTTCCCCTTCTCTTTCTAAATAGTTTTCAGGAATCAAAAATAGGAAGCATGTCTGTGGACTCTGGCACTGGCCCTGAATGAGGAAGCAGGATGCACGCATAGGGGGCATGCAGGTCTCACCTGAAGTCAGTGATGGTGATAAAGACCTCCTGGAGCACAGGGCTGAAGAGAGACTGCCGGGGCTCCTCCTCCACCAGCGTCTGCAGTGAGAGGGAAAGAACTTTAGAGAGTCGAGAATAGGCTGAGCCATTAAGCCAGACGGCAGGAGACGTGAATGGCCTGGAATAACCATTGCAGGTCCTCTGGCGGGCCTGCTCCTGGGTTCCGCCCGGCTGGCAGCAGGACTGTGGCCAGGCTAGGAGTTTAGTCTCTGAGGCCTGGCTCTGCCTCTTACTAGCTGTTTGAGTGGATATCTGCCTGTACCTCACTTTCGTTATCTGTAAAACAAGATAACAGTACTATTTACCTGCATAAGTTGGATGTGATAATTAAATGAGCTAATTCATAATACTCAATGCATGTGTGCTCAGTTGCTTCAGTCGTGTCCAACTTTTTGCAACCCTATGGACTGTATGTAGCCCGTCAGGGTTCTCTGTCCATGAGATTTTCCAAGCAAGAATACTGGAGTGGGTTGCCATGCCCTCCTCCAGGGGATCTTTCCAACCCTGGGATCAAACCCACATCTCCTGCGTTGCAGGTGGATTCTTTACCCAGTGAGCCAACTGGGAAGCCCATAATACTCAGTAGCCCTCAGTAACTGTAAGATAGTGTCTGTTAGTCATTATTTTCATGACTAGTGATTATTTCCAGTTTAGGCTTCTTAACTCTTCTTGCTACTAAACCAGCCACCTCTTCTCTAGAGCTTAGTCTTATTCTAAGTTGCCTGTCCTGGAAAACAAATAACTTTACAGATTCCAAACTGGCAGAGGGAAAGCAGCTTTGCACTACGGAATAAACCTGCAGAGTGGTAGGGAAAAAGAGGCTCTGGAGCTGGACACACCTGGGTTTGAGCACTGGCTCTGACTCCCTCGCTCCCTGTGACCCTGTGTGTCATACTGAACTTCCCTGTGCCTGAGTTTCCTTATCCGGACGGAGAAGATGAGCTCTATCTCAAGGAGCTGAGCTGAAGAGCAGATGTAAACTGTTGTAGGGGCCTCCTTACAGGACCATCTACCCAGCCTCTCTGGCAACTGCCTTCGGCCATCAACAGCGGATGTTCCACAGCCACGTTTCTTTAATATTTATTTATCCAGTTGGGCCAGGTCTTAGCTGCCACAAGCATGATTTTCGATCTTCATTGTGTCATGCAAGATCTTTAGTTGCAGCATGCAGGATCCTTAGTTGCGACATGTGGGATCCAGTTCCCTGACCAGGGATTGAACTGTGTCCCTTGCACTGGGAGCATGGAGTCTTAGCCACTGGACCAACAGGGAAGTCTGCACACAGCCATGTTTCTGCTAAGTCATTTTGTTCCACTAACCACAACTCATCTGTCTAGGAGTACACACCACAAAGTCAACTCACTAGGTTCTCTCTCTTAGGAATGCTAAACTGAGACAAGGAGCCTCCATCTCTATCTGGCTGGTCTATGAAAAGGAGAAAATTTAAAATTTGGGAGCACTGCCTTATGGATGGGGTAAACAAAAGAGCAAATTTTGGCAGGACAGAGGTGAGAGGGGGGAGAGGAAAGGGGAGGAGGAGGGAGAGGGAGGGAGATGGAAATGCACACAAAGGAGGAAAGAGGTGGAATGTTCTCACTGGGCATGCGGAAATTTGTGTGTGTGTGTGTGTAGGGGGGGGGTTCATTTCCTTTCTGGAGCAAGATGCTCTTCCTATCACAGGATTCTAGGGAACACACAATGATCCTAAGAATAGGATCTCAAGGGCATCATCACTAAGGTCACTGGGACAACCTGGCATTTGGGTGTTAAAAGGTGAGCACATCATCCTTCCATGAAAAGGACAGGACTCCTCTGCCTGTAGTTGCTGAGGATGGCATCCTTTCCCAGGCTTGTCAGAGAGATGATTTATGGTTTCTCTCCTCTATTTACTTCCCACGTCTGATCTATCACAGTGATAGCCCCTTCCTGCTTTGCACAGATTCTGACTCTCCATCACTATAGCCATATTTCTACATATTCCTGTAACCACTCCCACGTGGATGAAGGCAGTGCTTTTTAGCTAAAACACCAGGCCTGCAGTTCTGATTTCAATCTACCTGACCACTTCTGTCAGAATAATCTTTAAAAAAAAAATTTTTTTTTTAATGGAGAATAGTTGATTTATAGTGTTGTGTTAGTTTCAGGTGTACAACAAAGTGAATCAGTTGTACAGACACACACACACACACACACACACACATATATATATCTCCACTCTTTTCCCATAAAGGTCATTACAGAGTATTGAGTAGAATTCCCTCAGTAGGTTCTTAACAGTTATCTATTTTACATAGTGTATATATGTCCATCCCAATTTTCCAATTTATCCCTCTTCCCTTTCACCCTCTGATACCATAAGTTTGTTTTCTATATCTGTGATTCTACTTCTGTTTTTTAAATAAGTTAATTTGTACCCTTTTATAGATTCCACATATAAGTGATATTGTATCTTTTTTTTTTTCTCTAACTTACTTCACCCAGTAAGTTTTTTCTTTTTTTAAATCAGTAAGGTATGAAAGGCTTATTATATATTCACAATTATGCTAACCACTATGCGGAATCAGAAGCGGAGAGGCTTTTTGATTGTAAAGTATTTGTGTAGCAGGAACCTCCCAGGTGACTATCCAAATCACAGCACTCACCCTTTCTCTGGGAGCAGCCTCTAATACACAGGGAGGGAGGGATGCCCAGAAGTCATGGCATCATGATACCATGCTGTCCTCTGACACATCCGATTGATGCAGGAGTGGAGAACAGACCCAGACTGGGCCAAGCACTCTCTCCCCCAGAATGTGGAATTAAGGAATGACAGACACAGACAGACTGGGAGCTGCGAGAGGTTAGGGTCATAGTGATGGCAGAGCAGACCCTGCCTTTGAGACTCCTGGAGGTGTCCTGGAATGGGCTCTTTTGGAGTCTTGATGGGTAAACATCTTCCTTAGACTCTAAGCGAGATATTCCAGCATCCTTTGTTGGTTTTAATTTTATATGTAATTATTTGGCTGTGCCAGGTCTTTGCTGTGGCATGAGAACTCTTAGTTGCGGCATGTGGGATCCAGTCCCCCGACTGGGTTGAACCTGGGCCCCTTGCATTGGGAGGGGGAGGCCACTGGACCACCAGGGAAGTCCCCATCCCTTTGTTTTTAACCTAAGTGAGCCAGAGTTGATCTTTGTTGCTTGATTCAAGAAGAATCTTAACCAATATTAACAAAATGAGATATTTGTTTCAAAGGTCTTAATGAAAGCCATACAGATATTACTATCTCCATTTTCCAGGCGGAGCTAGAGGTTCAGAGAAGCAAAGTGGTTTGTCTAAAATCACAAAGGTTGTGCTGGACAGAACTAGAACTGGAAACTGTGTCCTTTGATTCCTAAAGCAGGTCCCTTTCCTCTCCATCCTTCTGCTTCAGGGAGCTCAAACTCTCACTTGGACAACAGGACAGATTTTCCTATTCGTTCAGTCTACTGTGAACTGCCTGTCCTCCATACTCCTTCAGCATGCATTATTCATGTCATAGAAGAGTCTTCCTAAAACATCATTCTCATCCATTTCTTACCGTGCTGCTCAAGTAACACACAGCTTCTTCAATGTTGAGTATATGCTTTACCAGATGACATAGTAGTAGGATTTTGTGGAGGACCTCAAGGCAGAATTAGGGTGGAGTCTCAAGCTGCCAGAGGAAAACTAAGAGGCATTATTGACAAGTCCTGCTACATTAAAATTCTGCAACAGGAGGACGTTTCTGGTTATCCACTGGTTAGTAATCTACCTTGCAATGGGGGGACATGGGTTGGAGAACTAAGATCCCAAATGCCTGTGAGGTGAGTGAGCCTACATCCCACAAGAAGGGACACCCCCAGGGTTATGAATAATTCTGCCATAACTCAGGATTACTACTTCGCATAGCCAGATCCTAATTTACCCCTCAAAGCCCCCTACTCACTGGTTCTTTCTCTCAACCCTATTTATCACTTCCTTTTAAGATTAGATCAGGAGATCTATCTGGATTAATTTCACTCAAATCTTGTCATTACTTTAGATCCCAATTGTCACTGTAGTTCTTCTCTTTTCTATTAAAGTTCTCCACATATTGTTTACATCTTTTTTGATTTTGAAGTAACAGACATACAATAAACTGTACATATTTAAAGTGTATAGTTTAATGATTTTGAACATAGGTATGTATGCATGAAATCATCACCGTAATCAAGATATAATAATCAAGAACTCCCAAAAGTTCTCTTGTGCTACCTTGTAAATTCTCCCTCCTGCCTCTCCCCACTCTTCTCCTACCTCCAGGAAAGCACTGATGTGATATCACTATAGATAAGTCTTACATTTCCAGAATTTCATGTAAACGGAATCACAGAGTATATTTTCTTTCTATCTGGCTTCTTTCACTTAGTATAATTATTTTGAGATTCATCCAAGTTGTACCACGTATTAAGAGTTCATCCATTTTCATTGCTGAGTAGTATTCCATTGTGTTGATATACCAAAATTGGTTGATCACTCATCTGTTGATGGATCTTTGGGTTGTTTCCAGGGTTTAGTTTTTACAAATAGAGCTGCTATAAAACACTGGTGTACAAGTCATTTTATGGATATATGCTTCATTTTACTTAGGAATGGAATTGCTGGGTCATATGGTAAGTATATATTTAACTTTTTAAGAAACTGCCAGTTTTCCAAAATGGCTGTGCTATTTAAATTCCCACCAGGGGTACATGGGACTCAGTTGTGCCACATCCTCCTAACATTTGGTATCACCTTTCTTTTTATTTTAGCCAGTCTAGTTGGTGTACAGTTGAATCTCATTGTGTTTTTTAAAAATATGTATTATTTCTTTATTTGGCTGTGCTGGGTCTTAGTTGCGGCATGTAGACTCTTAGTTGCAGCATGTGGGATCTAGTTCCCTGAACAGGGATTGAACCCAAGCCCCCTACATTAGGAATGTGGCATCTTAGCCACTGGACCACGAGGGAAGTCCCTCTTGTGGTTTTAATTTGCTTTTTCCTAATCACAGTGATGGAGCATGTTTTCATGTGCTTATTTGTAAATCTTCTCTGGTGAAGTACTGTAACAGATTCTTTCCCCCCTTCTTTTCCATATTCTGCTCTCAGCTTCCTTTGCTCTTTTTATCTGGATACTGAAAAGCCATGCTTTATCATGGATCAAGAGAAGACTGGCAAATCCTATAAACTTCTTTCTTTAGAATGACCCTGGTTTTCTCCTCAGAACTGCCTCTCCTCTTGGTTGTTGGAAGCAACACTCTTTTAGCTCTTGCACATGGTCTTGAACAATGATGTACTGACCCCTGGAGTTTTCTGGTGGACACCGACTCTCCTTAACTCTTCGAGGCTGACCCCCATGCCAGCCCAAACTTGGGTTGATGCCTGACAGTAGGTATTTTTGCTACTGGCTGGATAGATTCAGGTGCAAAGCACGGGGAAATTCTGTGTGCTTTTGCTTGTGGATCTTCTGAGCTGACTGGTTGAACTATGTGTCAACCCACTGCTGCCAATTTTTGTAGAGGTGGGATTGTGGAATCATGCCATTTTGGCTGAGTCCTATGGCTGCATATAACCCTCTTTCCGTGGAGCAGAACCAAGTAAAAAGTTTCACTTACCCTTAAATCTGCATCATATCATTCTGTTCTACTTGATGTATTACTTGGAATTTTTCTCAACCTACTTATGAGGTGTGGTCACTTCCAAACTATCTGTAAACTCTTGAAGGGCAAGGAATAACCCTTCCAGGAAATTTGTATTCTTTTCAAAGCACCACAGTGTTCTGGGTACAGAAGATCTTTGCTATAGTCTGGCATGCCTATGGCCTCACTCACTCAGTTGTGTTTGGCCCTTTGGTTCCCCATGGACTGTAGCCTGCCAGGATCCCCTGTCCATGGGATTTCTCAAGCAAGAATACTGGAGTGGGTTGCCATCTCCTCCTCCAGGGGACCTTCTCAACCCAGGGATTGAACCCATGTCTCCTGTGGCTCCTGCACTGAAAGGTGGATTCTTTACCACGCCTACCACTTAACAAACCCGTCAGCAGGTTAGCCTTCAGTTCTGAAAACTAATCAGCCTTACAAATCTGTGTACCTACAGGTGTACCTATGGCTGATTCTTGTTGATGTGTGACAGAAAACCACAAAATTATGTAAAGCAATTTTCCTTCAATTAAAAATTTTTTTAAAAAAGTTAAGTGCTTGTCTAAGTGCATCTGGATCCTTTGACATGGAACAGACCACTCACTTACTCCTTTGTGCCCTTACTAGACTTATTTAAACTTTCGTTATAGTATCTGTGACACTTGATTGGCTGCAGGAACAGAGATTATATCTTTGTGGCCTCAGTTCCTAGGACACTGTCTGGAACTGTCAAGTACTTAATAAGGCAATGAATGAATCAGTTAGTGGCAGAGTGTGGCTAGAGTTAAATACAAATAGGACAAAATACAACAATAAAAAGGATACCATCATGTTTCTCAGATGCAAAATACATGTTAGGTGCTGTGTTCTGTGGCTGGCATTTCTTTATTTAATACTCTCAGTAGCTACGTAAGGTACTGGGTTGGCCAAAAACTTCATAACATCGTATGGAAAAATCCAAACAAAATTTTTGGCCACTCCAATAGATACAGCTATTCTCATTTTATAGATGAGAATACTAAGGCACAGAGAAGTGCAGTACTTTCCCAAAGTCACACAGCTAGAAAGAGGCAGAAGTGGCACTGAACCTAGGCATTTGATTATAGAATCTGCTTCAAAACTACTGCTTGCTTATTTAAATGCTGTTTCTTCCCTTCCTGCTGCTCTTTTAATTGATTTTCAAGGATGATTATCTTAGTGGAGTACCCTGGGTATTTCTCCTCTAATGCAGAAATACTGATATGAAAAAGAAGTTGAGGGAACTGATAACATAGATGAAGCCATTAAAAATTTTGTTGTCACAGAACAAAATTTGCATGGTCAAAATAATCTGGGATAAGGTCATAATACTTACACTTAGCAGATGCACAATGTCTGCTATGTGGCTGTGAATGAATGACTCTGTGGTTTCATCAGAAGGTAAAGTTTGGCTGAGAGAAGACAAAGATCTCAGGGCTGTCAGCTTCTCAAGTTCACTCTGAGTTTGTGGGGAAATGATAAAAAAACACAATTCTACATTATAATCTCACTTGATAATTGTAAAAGGCTTTTGAAAAGCTTCTTGGAATGTTTTAAATGACTGACATCTCATTCAACCCAAGGTTAGTATTTTATTACAAGGAATAAAGAAGTTACAGAGGAATAAAGTTCCTTGTCCAGTGGCCCTGCCTGAGTTCGGGTCTTCATTTTCCCCCTCAGCTAGACTTTACTAAGTACTCCACACGATGGCTCTATCCACCTTTAGTCTGCATCTCCACCTACCTTCCCCGTTTGTGCTGTGTGCTTCGTCGCTCAGTCGTGTCTGACTCTTTGCAACCCCATGGACAGATCTGCCAGGCTCCTCTGTCCATGGGGGTTCTCCAGGCAAGAATACTGGAGTGGGTTGCCATGCCCTCCTCCAGGGGATCTTCCCAACCCAGGAATCGAACCCAGGTCTCCCACATTGCAGGCAGATTCTTTACTGTCTGAGCTACCAGGGAAGCCCTCCTTGTTTACTGCTATCTGATTAAGTTTCTTAAAGGTGACCTCTGACGCTGTTACTTCCAGCTCTCCTGATGTCATTAAAAATTCATTATTTTGAGTCTTTATTTCCTATTAAAATACAAGTTCTGATTTGAAGAATAAAATCTTTCGTATTATTTCCTTTTCTGATTATAAAAGCAATGTCTATCATACAAACTTTGAAACAATAAGGTATTAAGAAGAAAGCAAAATACACCAATAATTCTACACATCATGAGAAAATTTCTTCCAGTCTTTTTTCCCCTACATGTAGATGGTACAAATTGGTATAAGCCCTCTGGATAGCAAGTGGCAATAGTAGCAGTATATAGCAATGGCCTGATTTCCTATCACCTGGATTAGTAGAACAAGCCTACATTGGGTTACTCTGCTCCAATTTTGTCCCCTTCTAATCTATTCACCCAGCTATTACTAGTTTCGTGTCATAAAATGCAAATTTGATCAGGTAACTCACTCTCTACTGAAACTCTTTTCAACAGCACCCATTAAGGTCAAGGCCCTTCTCAAAGTGAATGCAGCTAACCTCTGCAATTTCATTTTCTGCCTTGCCTGGTAGCATACTGAGTTTTAGCCCAGTTAAGTTTCATGCTGCCCTTTCTTGCTTTTGGGTCTTTCTGCTTTCTCAGTTGTCTACGCTTTTTGTTTACTGACTGAAATCTATATATGCTTTAAGACTTAGATCATGCATTCTCTCCTGAAGTTGGGTCAAGTACTCTTCTAAGTGTATCCATAAATCACAAGTATATACTGCTAAAGTGGTATTTGTGATACTGTGATAAAGCTGCCTTCTTACTCATCTGTTACCCTGACTGGCTGTGGATTTAGGTCAGGGCAGGGAATGGGCTTTTATTTTTTTTCTTGAATTCATGCAGCAATCCAAGCCTTTTATTAATTACAAAGAAGTCCTTTAGAAAGCCCTACTAACATGAAGTATAAAGGAAAGTCCAAGTCAAAAGTGAAGACCAATACTCTGGCCTTAGGTCTTCAAAAATTTTTTTTTACTGGCATTATACATAGAGAAAATATAAAACTTGTTGAATTTTCACAAACCCCAAACACCTGTGTACATATATTCAAGGGAATGAAAACTGGATCTCAGAGAGGTATCTGTACTCCCATATTCACTGCAGCATTATTGACAGTTAGATAGATGGCACAGTGGTAAAGAATCTGCCTGCCTATGCAGGAGATGCAAAAGACATGAGTTCAATCCATGGGCGGAAAAGCTCCCTTGGAGTAGGAAATGGCAACCCACCCAGTACTCTTGCCTGGAGAATTCCATGGACAGAGGAACTGGTGGGCTGCAGCCCACAGGGTGGAAAGGAGTCAGACACAACTGAGCACACATGAACATGGAAATAACCCAAGTGTCTGTTGACAATGACAGAGGCCTTGGGCACTGATTTAGACGTGCCAGGCTTCTCTGAGTTTCAGACATTCTCTGACCCTTTCTGCCACAAAGTTGTTAAATGTTTCATTTCCTATTTCTGGAACATGCATGCGAGTGTGCTGTCACTTCAGTTGTGTCCGACTCTCTGAACCCTATGGACTGTAGCCCTCCAGGCTCCTCTGTCCATGGGATTCTCCAGGCAAGGATTCTGGAGTGGATTGCCATGTCCTCCTCCAGCGGATCCTCCCAACTCAAAGATCAAACCTCCAATTTTAACTTCTCCTACTTTCTCCTATTCATTCCTTAGACTTGAGCTGAAAGGTTACTTCCTCAGGAATGCCTCCCTTTACCCCAAGGTCAAGACAAATTCTTTTGTTATATGCTCCCACAGAATGAATGAATGTTTCACTTACATCATGAATACTGCATTATTAAGTAGGATAATACAGATCTATAATTACTGACCAAGAAATTTCTTTTCTCCCCCACTATCTCTGATGTGTGCTTTTCTATAATTACATGCATTTGTATGCACAAGAAAAAGTCTGAAAATAAATACACCAAAATGTTAACAGAAGTTATCTGAGGAGGAAAACTAAGATAACTTAAATCTTGGGGGGATTGGGGAAGATTAACCTGTTCCTTTTATTACAGTTTTCTTTGTTTTTATAGGAAATTTAAAATTTTTATAAACATGATCATAAACATAAAAATAATTCAGAAAAATATGTAAATATATTTATTATAAATACAAAAATTACACATAAAAGTATTGTGGATAAAGAATGCCACCTGCCATTTCAGTGAACAAACGGTGCTGCGCCCGTCAAGCCATCAGCCACTGCAGCTGCTCCGCACCTTCTCACACGCACTAAAATGATTAATTTGAAATGTCTGCTTTTGTGATTAGCAGTCCATCTTTTGGTGCTTTCACTACATAGTTTTTTTTCCCCATCAAAAACTCCTTTTTATCCTGACTCCTCCCTTACCAACAGTCCCTCAGAGCTATCTGAAAGACTGTCATTCCAGTCCTTAGTGTTAGTCACTCAATTCTATTGACTCTTTGTGAGCCCAGGGGCTGTAGCCCGCCAGGCTCCTTTGTCCATGGAATTCTCCAGGTAAGAATACTAGAGTGGATGGGGAATACATGTAAATCCATGGCTGATTCATGTCAATGTATGACAAGACCCACTGCGGTATTGTAAAGTGATTAGCCACCAACTAATAAAAATAAATGAAAAAAAAGAAAAAGAATACTAGAGTGGGTTGCCATTCTCTTCTCTAGGGCATCTTCCCAATGCAGGGATCTAATCTGGGTCTCTCGAATTGCAGGCAGACTCTTTATTTACTATCTGAGCCACCAGGGAAGCCCTTTAGTCCTTAGTAACACCTCTGAAAAAGCATAACTCTTCATTTGCAGGTTATGCCTTTTTTTTTTTTTCAGTTGACAGTATACATATAAGTCAATTTTATAGCCTATAGTATAAATGCTTTATACAAAAAATTTTAAGATATTTGGTAGATGAATAATTGGAATGACTTGGAAGATCGCTTGCGCGTACCTTTAGTTCACCATTAAAAAACTCCTGGATGGATTGGATCAGCTGCTCAGCAACGACTTCACCGAGGGGGCCTTGGTGGGTCAGGTGTCTGGAGGTGTCTGTGAGGGATTCCCCGGGGAGTCCGGGGATTTCTGTGATGTCCGAGTCTAACACCGAAAGAAAGACATTGGATGATGCCTCTGTATTGTGTGAAGTCATACGGTTTAGTGGGGAGAACCCCTGGACATCAAGATAGACAGGTCCTGTTCTCACCTTTCCTATTTCCTCTGCAACCGGGACAAGTCCCTTCCCCTCCTGAGTCTCAGTTTTCTCAATTACAAACCCAACGTGCTCCAGTGAATGAAGTCGCACAGCCGTGTCCGCCTCTTTGTGACCCCATGGACTGTAGCCTACCAGGCTCCTCTGTCCATGGGATTCTCCAGGCAAAAGTACTGGAGTGGGTTGTCATTTCCTTCTTCAACGGCCTCCGAGGGCCAACGGCCTCCAATGTTCTCCAAGGGCCGCCTAAACTACAAACACCTTTAAGGCTGAGCTGAGGTGGGCCGGTTATAAGAGCAGGGATTTTTCTCAGTTTGAATCCTGGCTCTCCCACTTACTAGCTATATGACATTTATTAAATTAGCCTGCCTCTTAGAAGCTTAGATTCCTCACCAATAAAACAGGGTTATTGTTGGGGACTGAGTGAGGTAGTACATACAGAAGACATATCCCAGTATGTGGCCCACAATAAGCACTTAAATGGTAGATATTCTTATGTAAATCCAAAAGTCTTTGACCCTGCAGTGACTAGAGCTTAAAATACGGTGGCCACTTGTGATGATGATCTCTTTCCAAACGGAACAGGTAGCTGAGTAAGTAAGTGCTTGAGGTGTTTCCTTCTTGACCTGAGATATAGTAGGTTGGCCAAAAAGTTCATTTGGGTTTTTCCATACCATCTTATGGAAACATCTGAACAAACTCTTGGGCCAAACTAATACTTTAGAAGCACAGGCTCCAGAGTCTGCCTAGGCTCACATCCCGGTTCTGCCTCTTTCTAGCTTTCTGACTTTATGCAACCTTAGTTTCTCTGGGCCTATTTTTACATTTCCAAAATGGGGATGATAACAACCTTCTTTATCGAGTGACAAGGGTTATGCTGGCATCATTTTCCTCTTCATGTAGTTTTTGTTTTTTAAGGTTATAAAATACACCAATTCTGTTTAATAACCAAACTTTTCAGGAAAAAAAGGAACACGATGATACCAATTACAGTGATTATAAAATAAATATATCATGATTAGAAATGTTACAATGTGAAGATGTGTATCCTATAATTGAGGAAATACAATAATTTTATTGCCAGTAAGGAACATAGTGTTTCCCTTTGGGCCTTCCTAGATTCAGGTCATTTTATATCCTTGCTTCCTCCATTTCTGATATCAAGTTCCTTATTCCTATTGGGCAAATACCTTCCTAGTTCCTCCCTAACACACCCATCAGCTCAGGCTTTCTCTACTTTTGTTCGCTTAGTGGTTTCCTGACTACTGTCTTCTATACATTTCTACAACTGTCCTGCCACATGTCTGTTGTCCACTGGAAGCCCAAGTTCCTATTCACTATGATCTTTGCACAGGCTTTCCTTCTGCCTGCCTATTTCTTCTTCCTCTCCCCACCTTCCCTTTCTCTCTTTGCCTAGCTAACCCCTACTCATCCATCAGAGCTCGACTCCAGGATCCCTTTCCTGAATCCCCTCTTTGCCCATTTTGGCTAAGTATCCTCTGAGCTGCTAATAAACCTTCCTCTGTCTGCTCATTACTTCCTCCCCAACCCTTAATCACACACATTATACTGAGCTCCAATCATTTGTTTATAAGTACACTGTCCTACAGCTAGATCAGTGTTGAGAGACAAAAGGGCTTCAATAACTATTTGTTGAATGAATGTACAAGTGAATGAATGTAGTTCCTCAAACACACTGTAGCTGTTCAACTTTTTCATAGTGCTTACTACAACTTGTAATTACTTTGTTTGTTGTCTGTTTACTTTCTGGGGGTCATTTTCAGCACTACAATGTAAATCCTATGAGGGCAGGGATCACGTTGGGCCTGTTCATCGCTGTATGCCCAGCAACTGGTCCTCAATAAATGTTTGTAGAATAAACGAAAGATAGCTACGCTGTAACCCAATCCAGCAACCATCCACATCTAACTCTCCCTTCTCAGAATCCTTCTAGCACTTAGACTCTGTGCAAGCCTTTAGGATGATCTGTTTCAGGACCAAGTTTAGATTTCTATATACCTAGAATAATATATCATCTCATTTTGCCAATCACATTCCAAGGTCTTAAAGTCAGGAACCAAACTCGTTGTCAAAATCTAGTTGACAGCTGGTCACCCTGAAACTTGACTTGACAACAGATTCCCTGTTCCCAGCCCCACTCCTTTATCTTTCCCACATTTCACCTGTAAGTTCAAGGCTACTTGGTTGCTTTTTAATATCCTCTAAGTTGCCCAGCTGCAAATCCACACTTCCTGAATCACTGTCAGAAGCACAAGACATCACTACTTCTTCTTGACTACAGATCCTAGGAATGAAGAGGGGATTGGAAAAATTAGTTTTTCAGGACTGCTTCTGTCTCATCACTCAAGTGAAAGTTTAAATGTCCCCTTCTCAGAGAGGCATTTATTGATCACCAATCCAGATTAAGTACCCAGTCTCTTATTTATTTCTTCATTTCTTGCATAGTATTTAATTATTACCTACAATTATCAAGTTCATATGTGTTTATTAACCATCTCCCATCAGACTATAAACTCCACAAGGGAAGAAATCTTGTCGACGTGATCACAGTTGCATATTTGATATGGACAGAGTAAAGGGACAGAGTAGGTGATTAAATAGGTAATCCCACTAAGGAATCATAAGTAATGGAAAAAGTATGGGAGACCCCTAAGTTAACAGTCACTCAAGAAAGCAGGTTTACTCACCACAAAACCAAGAACAAAGATGAGCAACAAAACTGCAGCAGGGAACTTTCCTGGTGGTCCAGTGGTTAAGAATCCACCTTCCAATGCAGGGGATGCAGGTTCCATCCCTGGTCTGGGAACTAAGTTCCTATATGCTGCGGGGCAACTAAGCACATGGGTTGCAACTAGAGAAGCCCTTGCAACACAGCATGAGAAGCCCACTCACTGCAGCTAGAAGAGACTCCATGAATAGCAACTAAAGGAGAAGCCCACTCACTGCAGCTAGAAGAGACCCCATGCATAGCAACTAAAGGAGAAGCCCACTCACTGCAGCTAGAAGAGACCCCATGCATAGCAACTAAAGGAGAAGCCCACTTACTGCAGCTAGAAGAGACCCCATGCATAGCAACTAAAGAAAGTTCACACCCTGCGGCGAAGATGCAGCACAGCCAAAAAAAAAAAAAAAACCACCCCCAGAAACCTGTGCGATAGAAGCATGAGGTATACCCAAGCACAATAAAACAATAGTGGAATGAGACCCACATCATGTTCAATGAGGTCAGTAAGTTAATGATTCCTATTTCATGCTCCTCTGCACACACTAAAAAAGGGATAAGGTGACATTATACTGAAACCTGAGATGATTTACCATTTATGGTGTTCATTAACATCTTTTTGCTCATTTTCACTGTACCATGACATTCCCAGTTTGAACACGTAGAGATGAGAAAACTCTCCCACCTGATACAGAGGAGGAGAAGGAGGAGCTGATGATGGAAGCTTGATGTCCACTAAAGAATGAGGGAGAAGGTGGTCTTCTCCCCCTCCCCACATTTCCTTTGAGTATAAAACTGTAGGCCAGTAAGTTCTGAGCCCTGCACCCTCCTGCCTATCTGCTTGTAAACCTCACAAGCATCCTGTTCTGATAAATCACTTATCTATAACATTGTCTCTCAGTCAATTCTTTCTGTGTTGAGACATAAAGAACTGGGGCTCTTTGGAGCCCCTGAAACATATTTCTGTGGTTTCATCCTCAGTACCTAACATATTGTCAGCCTCATGAGAAGCGAATGGATAGGTAAGAGATACTACTCCACTGAGAAAAGAGACTGAGGCAGAACACCGCCCCTCTCTCAATCCCCTTTACCCTTTCCTACTTTTTTCTTCTTCTTATCACACAGTACCATCTATCATTCAGTTATTAATGATATTTTTTATCATCATTATCCTTCTACTAAAATGTCTTGAATATTCATTGGAAGGACCGATGCTGAAGCTGAAGCTCCAATACTTTGGGCACCTGATGCGAAGAACTAACTCACTGGAAAAGACCCTGATGCTGGGAAAGACTGAAGGTAGAAGGAGGAGGAGGCAGAAGAGGGTGAGATGGTTAGATAGCATCACTGACTCAATGGAAATGAATTTAAGCAAACTCCAGGAAATAATAGAGGACAGGGGAGCCTGGTGTGCTGCAGTCCATGAGGTCGAAAAGAGTGGGACATGACTTAGGGACTGAAAAACAACAACAATAAACATGTAACTGAAATTTTAAAAGTGAATTCTTTTCTGAATTAGATAATAATTTTCAAACACAACACAAATATTTTCAAGTTTCTGTGCTATTTATAATGTAAAATCTACAGATGTGATATATTTTTAAGCTTAATCTCAATTAACATTATCTCCAACATTAAATTTACACAATAACAAAGCAATAAGTCAAGCCCTGGTTTGTAGCATTTGCTGACTCTATGGTATAAATATTCCATTTGCAGCCAAATCAAGCTACCAATGTTACTGGGAAGAGGTGTGTAGTAAGCACAGCATGATATAATATTTCCACTATTCAGATACAGTAGATACAAGCTACCACAAAAACACAGACAATGATAAAGGAAAATAATTAGGAAATGATGAATTTTGTTTTTAATATACTTTCATTTTAAGTATATATAATTTAATTCTTCTAATAGCTGTATTTAACAACCAATTTGCAAAATTCCTTTCACTTATGTATTTTTTACTTAGGTATAGTTGATTTATGGGCTTCCCAGTTGGCACTAGTGGTAAAGAACCCGTCTTGACAATGCAGGAGGCACAAGAACCTCGGGTTCCATCCCTGGGTCAGGAAGATCCCCTGGAGAAGGGCATGGCAACCCACTCCAGTACTCTATCCTGGAGAATCCCATGGACAGAAGAACCTGGAGGGCTACAGTCGACGGGGTCACAAAGAGTTGGACATGACTGCAGTGACTTAGCATGCATGCATAGTTGATTTACAATGCTGCATTAGTTTCTGGTGTACAGCAATGTGAAAGAATATATAGATATATACAGAAAATACATATATATTATTTTTCTTATTCTTTTTCATTGGTTTACTATAGGATACTGAACACAGTTTCCTGTGCTATACAGTAGGACTTTTCAGTTCAGTTCAGTCGCTCAGTTGTGTCCTACTCTTGGTAACCCCATGGACTGCAGCACACCAGGCTTCCCTGTCCATCACCAACTCCTGGAGCTTGCTCAGACTCATGTCCATGAGCCAGTGATGCCATCTAACCATCTCATCCTCTGCTGTCCCCTTCTCCTCCTGTCTTCAATCCTTCCCGGCATCAGGGTCTTTTCCAATGAGTCAATTCTTGGCAGCAGGTGGCCAAAGTATTGGAGTTTCAGCTTCAGCATCAGTACTGTCAATGAATATTCAGGACTGATTTCCTTTAGGATGGACTGGTTTGATCTCCTTGCAGTCAGTCCAAGGGACTCTCAAGAGTCTTCTCCAATGCCACAGTTCAAAAACATCAATTCTTCAGCGCTTAGCTTTCTTTGAGAAAGAATCCAACTCTCACATCCATACATGACTACTGGAAAAACCATAGCTTTGAGTAGACAATTTGACTATTTCAAATTTGGCAATTTTAAAAAAGGCACCAGAGATCAAATTGCCAACATCCCAGAAGGACTTTGCTGTTTATTAAAATTCTTGAGAAATTTAACAGTTGACTCTCACAAGCCAGTATGAGGCTTCAGCACATCACTGGTTGTCTTAGTATTGAGTTGGAGGAGTTCTTTATATATTCTAGATCAGTCCTGTCCAATAGAATATTCTGTGGCAAGGTAAATGTCCTATATGCTCTATAATTGTGCGCAGTTCAGTATCATCTCCACCAGCCACTTGGGGCCACTGAATGCTTGAAATATGGTTAATAAATGACAAACTGAATTTTTAATTTTAATTAAATTCAAGTTAAAATATCCAGATATTTTATGGCTAGTATACCATACAATAGCACACTACCAAACAGAGAAAGAACTGACTCTTCCTTGTTTGGGACAGCAACAGACGGTAATATCCAGGACACTAATGATTGTAAAAGTTGTATCGCATTGTGAATACTTTGTGTTCCTAACAGTTAAAAGCAGATTATAGTCAGGCTGTCCCGGTTCACATTTTAAAATTTCCTTCTCTATAAAATGGAAATATTAATAGTACATATCTCACAGACTGGGGATGAGAAGTGAATGAAACAAGGTACACGGAATGCTTAGTACCCTGTCTGGCTATCCCGTAAACGCTCTGAGTTACCTAAATAATCTGAGTTACCTAATGAATAAATTCACTTCCATTGGGATTTATATTCTCCTCACACAAACGTACGCAGATGAGTTAAAAAGTCACTTATGGGTCAGTTACTAACAACCGAAACAATCTTCAGGGAAAGCTGCCATAATTTTCTTATAAAAAGAAAACAAACCCGCAAACAGCTCAAATGTTGCTGGCCCTTCTCCACCGGACCCTTTCCATTCCTTTAAAATAGGCCGGGTTGCAGAGAGACGACTGAGTGACAGTGCGATCGGCCAATCACAGGAGGCCCCGTCTCGGGCCCACCCCCGAGGCCTCGTCCAACCGCCTGCCGGTGGCTTCCGGAATGGGACCGTTGCGAGGAGGTCGGTTCCAAGTGGGCCGGGGCGCGGGGGGTGGAAGCAGCCCAGTACGCGAGGGCCGTGGCGCAGTGCGCGCTCAGCACCGTGCGGCTGATGAGCGCCTCCCGGCCCAGCGGAACCGCGAGGACTGACCTGTGCCTGGAGCCCATCCCAGCACACGGGGTCTGCCGCGAGTTCCTGGCGTCCCCTCTGGCGCCCTCTTGGAGCCACCTTCCCGAGCGGAAGTCCGCCTGCGGCTCGGGCCGTGGTGGGACCTGCTCGGAGGAATGGCGCTGCCGGGTGAGGCGTTGCGCAGGGCTCGACAACGGGGTCCCGCGGCCCACGTGTCTTGGCGAGTGGGCTGTCGCCCGCGGGAGGCTAGTGCTCGCCATTCGGGGGCCAGCCAGGAGGGGTCCTTTTCCCCTGCGGGGCAGGGGCATGAGCTCGGGCTCTTTGGGGGTCCGGCGTCTGACGGGGTGCTGGCCAGCGGTTGGGACTGCGGGCGAGTGGAGAGGGTGGAGGTGGGTGCGGCGCGGGCTACGGGTTCCCCCGAGACTCAGTTGGGGACCGCAGCCGCGGAGAACCCGCGGTCTGGCTTCACCCATTCATTTGACTCGCGCGGGCTTCCGGGCCAGGTGGCCTAAGAGTGATCTTTTGGCTAAATCGTCCTTCTTTGGACCGTAGTTTCCTCTTCAGCGAAAGGGGTGAGAAAATCACACCTCCTTGAGAGCTTACGAGCGTGAGTTCTGAAGTTAGGATGTCTCCGGGTACAAACTTGCAGTCTGCCACGTTTTCGTAAAGTGACCCTGTGCAAGTAACTTGACTCCTCTGTCCCTCAGTTTCTCATCTGTTAAATAGGTTAGTCTCGTAAATTACGATGGGAGTTAAATGAGACCATCTCCCTTCATAGTGTAGAACAGTGCGCGGCAATCAGTAAGTACTCATTAAACTGAACTACATTGCCAGGTATTGAGAGGACACTGTGCAGGATGCAACCTCGTGTAGTGTCACAGCAACTTGGGGAATGTGTACAATTTTTTATTTCCACTTAACAGAGGGAATCTCAGGGAAGAGATTCTTGCCCAGATAACTTACCCAAGGTAACAATGAATAAATCTGTGGGCTCACTGCTCCGTTAATTGACAGGTTGAGGATAGTTGAGTTCCTGCAGTTGGATTCTCAACTAGTTCACCTGTCTTAGGGCAGTTAACTATTTCTGTGACTCAGTATCTTGGTCTGTAAAGTGCACAGACTTGGGTATTGTGAGGATTTAATGACTAAATGCACACAGAGTACTTTAGCATAGTGTGGGCATACCCAGCTCATGTTACGTGCTCAGATTACAGTCCCCAAAGTTGTGTGGTTAATATCGTTGATATGAGGTGGGAAGATCAGGATACTGGCACAAATGCTATGTTAGAGGAACTTACAGTCTAGCTGGGAAAATGCTGGTCATAGTTACTAGATCTTAAGGTACTGAGTACATGTATGTATTCAAGGCACTGGGGATTCAGCATTAGTATCTGGATCCCTCTTTTACGTCTTTACACACATCAGCAATTCTAATTGAGTTCTAGCCAGTTGGTCCAACCAGTTGGTCCCCTCGTTTAGAGCACCACCATCTTTTTTCTTGAGGTATGGCTGTGGTTTCCTGACTGGTGTCTCTCTTTCTATCCTTGCTCCTCTATAATCTCAGCACAGTATTGTTTCTTCTCAACACAGAGTTCCTGTTAAAATGTAAGTCAGATCACTTCTCTGCTCAAAATTTTCTCACTTAATAAAAGCCAAAGTGCCCCTAGGGTCGTCTGGGTTTGACCTCTGCTGTGTCTGTCACCTTGTCCTGCTTCTCACCCCTTGCTTAATCCTCTCCAGCCATGTTGTCCTCCTTGCTGGTGCAGAAAGCCTTGTCCGCATTCCAGATTCAGGGTCTTTGTACTTGCTTTTCTTCTTGGGATAGTTTCCCTCCAGATATCTTCATGACTTGCTCCTTCTTTTCCCTCAGATTTATACATAATATCTCTATTTCTTAGTTAGGGCTTCCGAGGCTGCCATGTTTAAAGTTGCAGCTCTTCCCAGATATCCCTTACATTCTTTATTTTTCTCCATAGCACTTTTCACCTTCTAAGATGATGAATAATGTTTCTTAGTTATTTTGTGTCATGTCTTTTCCCACTAGAGTGTAAATTCCATGAGATTAGGGGATTTTTGTTCCGTTTCATGTTGTATTAACACCAAAAATAGTTCTTGGTACATAGTAGTTATTCAGAAACATTTCAAAAATGATGATCCACATTCCAGATCTCTTTCTAGTTTTTTTAAAGAGCTTTCACATTCTTTAGGTTATTTAATACACACAAGGGCTTAAGTAGCACAAACACTCATATCCCTAATGTAGGCATCCCTTCGTCAACATTCTCCCAAAAATAGTGGAGTGAGAACTCTTTAGATGGACCTGGGTTTGATTGTGTCTAGGCTGTGTCTAGGCTGTTCTGGTTGTCTTTCTTATTTGTAAAATACCTTTCTTAAGGGGTTCTAGTTCAAACTGAAGTAGACGATATAGGCAAAGGAGCATTAATTATAAATGTTAACCTTGTGATTACTGTTACTTGGAAGGTAGACTGTTCATGAAGCTGCCCATTTGAAAGGATTTTATTCCAATTAAAAGTAGAAATGTTTGACTCCCGAATTTCCCTCTGTCCCCTGGGGCATAATAGATGAGGACTGATTTTTTTTTTCCCATTTATTCAGTAGATATTAATTCAGTACTACCACGTGCAAGGCTTGGAAATACTGGGATGAATAAAAGCAACAGTCTCTGTCCTCGTGGAGCTTATAGTTTAGCAGAGGAATCAGAAATTACTAAATTTAGTTTTAAAAAATATTGCATATCGCCCTTTCCAGTGCCCTTTCAAGGCTGACACAGTGCCTTAAGAGGCTAACACAGGAGGGTAAAGAAAGTCTCCATAAAACCCAGAGAAGAGATTTTAGAACTCCTCTCTGGATCCTGTCTGGAGTCACAACTGAACCGGAAGATTTTAAGTCTTAGCACTTACTAGTATGTGTATAGTTAATACCAAAGTCATTAAATTTAAACTTGACCTTTGGTTTGAAAAAAAAAAATACTGCATAGAATTGGAAGTTGCTTTGAATGGATATAGAAACAACAATAATGTAAAAGAAGGAGTAGCTAACATTTATGTAACCCTTATTTATATACATGCCACTAATTAAGATTTTCTGACTTAATGCATGTAATTCTAACAACCCCGAGGTCAACACTGGTATTTTCCCGCTTGAGGAAACTAAGGCACACTGGTTACGTTGTAACTGCCATGGCCACCTGGCTAAGAAGTGACAGAGCAGAGATTTAAACCTGGCCCCAGACACCTTGTGTTTCACCATAGAACCGGGACCTCATCCAGAGAAGGGCTGCTGGGGGGTTTCTTAAGGAAGAGATACTTGACCTGAAATCTGAAAGTTGACATTAAGCAGGAGAAGACATGCCAAAAAGTTGGGTAGGAAAGAACACGACTCGTTAGAGGAACAGAGAGGAGGGCAGAGAGCCACAGATGAAAGAGTGGGGGAAGAGATCCCACTGGGAAACAGGCAAGGCCACGTGAGGACTCGGGTTTGGATTTGTCCTAGGAGGCATTGGAGCTGCAAACATACCTGAGACGGGAATGGCATGATGAGCCCCTCGCTTTAGATGCCCAGAGGCTGCTGGGAGGACTGTCATTCAGATGGTTAAGACTGTGCCCACCGGTTCCCCAGGGTGGAGCCCCCCAGTTCCCTCACCCTTCCTCATGTGATTTGGTTCCCAGACCTTGGTGCGCCTCATCATTGGAACTGTGTATAGAACTTTGAATAGTGTGGAGTGTATTTATTTAACAATCATTTCCCCCCAAGGTTCAAGCACTGTCTTCCTGTTGGCCCTGACAATCATAGCCAGCACCCAGGCTTTGACGCCCACTCACTACCTCACCAAGCATGACGTGGAAAGACTGAAAGCCTCTCTGGACCGCCCTTTCACAAGTTTGGAGTCTGCTTTCTACTCCATCGTGGGACTCAGCAGCCTTGGTGCCCAGGTGCCAGATGTAAAGGTAAGACTACTTTTGCCTTGGTGGCCTCATTCCTTCACTGACTTCCTTTTGTGTACTTCAAACCTTACTCCTGCTTATTTGAGAATACCCAAGGCTAAGCCAATATCATAAATATTTATATCAATCTGACAGATACTTTTTTTTTTAATGAATGACTAATGTATGTTAGGACCATGCCATGTGTTTTAGTAAAGTATAAAGAAGACCAAGTCATAAATCGTTTAGGAACTTTGTAGCTTTTACTGAAACTTTTACAGTGAGGCTAGGCTTTCCCAGTAGCTTAGACGGTAAAGAATTTGCCAGCATACTGGAGATTGCAGTTTGATCTTTGGGTGGGGAAGATCCCCTGGAGAAAGGAACGGCAACCCACTCCAGTGTTCTTGCCTGGAGAATCCCATGGGCAGAGGAGTCTCACGGGCAACAGTCCATGGGGTGGCAAAGAGTTGGATACGACTAAGTAACTTCCATTTCATTTCACTTCACTTGCAGTGAGGCTGTACTTGTTAAGTGCCCCGTGTGTGTGGCTAATAAATATTAAAGGAGTTCAAGATGGGGGAGCGTTCACTTTTTATTAAACACTGACAGTTACAGCATCAGGCAATTCTGATATATTTTTTGAATCTTTGATGAGGAAAAATGCATCATGACTGAAACCTTTCCTGGATTTAGGGAAAGTCTTAAATTGTGAATTTACGTTTTATTCATTACAGCAACATGGACAGCTTCGGGCAGGGAATTAGGGCCAGGTTTCTCACATAAGCCTTGTGTGTCAGTTTCCTATAGTTGTGTAACAAATCACTATGAACTTAGGGATTTAAAACAACACTCATTTATGAATATATAGTTCTGTAGGTCAGAAGTCCAGGCAGGCTTGGCGGGGCTCTCTGCTTAGTGTTTCATAGGTCCCTTTGAAGGTGTTGGCCAGGCTTGGTTCTTAACCTGGAGGCTCCTCAGGTTGTTGGCAGAATCCAGTTCCTTGTGGTCGTGGATCTGAGGTCCCCATTTTATCACTGTCAAGCTAAGGGCTGCTGTCCACTCCTCACAGCCACTGTCTTTCTTCTCATCTTGCCCTGTCCCCACTTAGATCAGTCATGGCATGTTGAGTCCTTCTTAACTCTTCAAATCTCTCTAACCTCCTCTTCTGCTACCAGTTGGAGAAAACTCTCTGCAATTAAAGGGCTTACCTTTTAGGTCAGGCCTACCTGGAGAATCTCTCTAAATTTTAAAGTCTGCTGATTTGGGACTTTAATTACACCTGGAAAATCCCTTCATAGCAATTCTTAGGTTAGTGTTTAAATACATAATCAATGGATGGAAATCTGACAATGACATCTTTAGAATTCTGCCTTTCTTATACTAGCATGGAAATGGCCCCATATTTAAATGGTTTATGATTAAAGTTTATT